ACATTCGCAAACATGAACAGTCTGGCTTTGCTGGAAAACAAACCCTCAGTTTCTAAGAGTCAGAGCTTAGCAAATGGTGTCAACCTGCTTAGTCCAGGAAGACAAGTTAGAGGGAAACTAAAAATACTGACAATCTGATAGAAATGTATAATAATTAGAAGCCTTATAGCTTAGGGATGAGCTGGATAGAAACAAATTCCAAGATAAGCTTAAGGAAAAATAAAAGAAACACATTTTGGTGTTTGCTTTTTTATTCATATACCAGTACAGCTGCTTTTATAAAGCCATGTTTACTAATCAACAAGCAAAAAGCATCTGAGCCTTTTACTAATGCTAGCTTTGGAGCTGAGATTTTTGAGGGATTGCTATATTATCAAATATACTGCTTTTTGTTAAAGTTCTTTCATTGTTAAAATTTAAAATAAATAAGAACAGATATCAGGACATTTCTGAACCAATTTTGTGTTCTTCTTGGTCCTTGAACACGTTTAATATTCATAAACATTTAAATAGAGCTGATTTTAGGTGTTAGTGATTGAATATGATTGTGAGGAAAATGGCCACTCATTTCTTCCTGGGATAGTTTATTAAAAGTTTACAATGAAGGCAGTTTCCAAATGATGAAGTCTTAATTTTACCTCTAGATCAGATGTGAACATTTCAAGCCCAGAAGAAAAGGTAAGGAGAAGGTAGATTAAAGAATGTTAATCCCAGAGTATTTAGAGCCAATTTCAAGAGGCTATCAGATCTTAATGCAAACTTTTGGTACCGGTGTAGCAGACATATCACATAGAAGTATTCAATTCTAACTGAAGTAATATTGCAAACATGCCTGAATGATGTCTGATTAACAATAACAGGTTTTTCTAAGCCTAACCTAAGCTGCTGATGGGGCTCTGACCTCTATGCACTAAAATAATACCAACAGGTTTGCCCCTTTTCTAAGGTAGATGAATGAATGCCAATTGCTCACATCATACAAAATGCATGACCTGGTTTAAGCATTAGTAACTTTAAAACCTGAGCAGGACATACTGCGGTTACCTTTTTAATTCCCCTCACCATCATCTGCAGCAACCTCTGGCCTGCCAGGTGGTACAGTAGGTGGAGGCTCATGCATACATATAGGTAGTGCTTATAGTGATAGTGCTATGACTGCATTTTCTCTATATGTACCAATGTAATTTACAAATGGTGAAAGAATACTTTTTAAGTATATATGGAAAAAATAAAAATACTGTTCTATGTATCAGAGACTTAGATTTGTCATTTTGTATACATGAGTATATACAAAATGAAATTTAGTTTAAAACAGCTCTAGACAATTTTATTTTTCAAAATGCAGCTTTGAAAAATAGTAATAAATACATAAAAAAAATACTAATATCAATGTATCAATGGTTCACCTGAGGAAGGCACTTGATTTATGATTTGTTTTAAGGAGAGAGGGGATAAGGTGTATGTAGCTCAGATGTAAGGCTCTTTGAGTGGTCAGTATGACGAGAAAAATAGAGATAACTAACCAGCGGCATACAGCCACGTGTGTAAGAGGCAGAGAGCGTCAGCCTTCAACAACCTCTCACACTCCAGTATTCTTTACTAATGGTAAAAATGTCTACTGTAGGATCTGTCTGACATACTCATGAAATGCTTCCAAGCCATGACGGGAAGCTCCTTTGCGATGAAGCTCTGCCTGTCTGTAAGATGAACAAATAACATTTTCCATCTCCATCAATTAATTTCTGGAGAAATCTAAGCAAACTCAGTCATAATCATAAAAGTTTATTATACCCGTAATTAAAAGGTAGAGAAATAACTGTATTTTCATAATTTTTTTATTGAATACATCAGCATAAAAATTTATTTCTTGTAATTCTTAACCCAGAAAAGGCCTCCTTTCCCAGTTAGTCAATTACAACACATCCGTTTCTGGCATCAAAAAGTTTATTTTCCATTTTTGGTGTCCAGTTTAACACATCACAACTTCACAGGAACATTTCATGAGTTTAAAAGTACATCGGTGTTGAAGAATGTCCACATTTACAGCATCAAACAGATGAAACAATAGTCTCAAACATTATCATTTCACATTTGCAATGTCAGTCAAGGGCGTAAGCATATCACATGATGCTTTCTTAACAATATCCATAGAAAACTCCCAACATTTTGGATTTCACAGTTTCACATCAGGAGTCCAGAGAAGCTTCCTTTAATGACTTTTGTTTGACCAACAGTGATTGTCAACAGGCTTGGAGGATCATTTGGTGCAGAGAAAGAAGCCTTAAAGCGGCTCGCTTTATGTAACGTGTTGCTCTGCGAGCCCAGAAGTCGTCACAAAAGGTAGAAACCTCCATCCACTGGGCTAACAAACAAAGGTAATCCAGGCTGGCCACACTGCTGCAACTGACTCGTCAACAGAGGTGGTCAAAGGAAGGGTAAGAAACACGTTTGTGTGCGTTAAGTAGGAAGAAGAGCAAAGGAAGTAAGAGGTGGTAAAGGAAGATCAGCTGCAGCTGTTAGGGGATAAAAAAACGTCAACATTAAATCTGAGACCAGAGTGCAAAAACAAAACAAACCTTGAGTGTAAAGCATATGAAACAGAAGAAATGTGACATAGCAGCATCTTGCCTCCACCACAGAGCTCCAATCGGGATCATTCTGTTGAAGATAAAATGATGAGGTTAATCCGAACACAACAGCATTAAATGCAAAAATCATTTGCATTTAAACTACAACACAGGAAGTGGACCATACCAATGGTTAGATATGTGATCCGACTATAAATCCTCAACAAAATCTTTTTTTCTTTTGCACTAAACACTAGCTTTTAGATTATTTGTTCTAGAGGTTGTTTTTTGTGATCTTGAAAGCTTGTTTTTCCGTAACTTTTATGCGAAAAAGTGCTTACTTCCCTTGCATGCATGAATCTCCATGCTAGCTGCAGCTCTCTATCTTTCTGAGTGGCAGCAAACCCACTTTAAGTGTGCAACAGCCAGCTAAAAGGCTGCATGGAAGAATTTAGTCTCTTGTTAAATGCAGTTATTGACCAGGCCTATTGGATTTTTAGGTTTCATGATAGTCTTTCAAGGTATTTGGGCAATTTTCCGAAATATAATAAACAATCTTAGAGGAACATTCAGATATTACTTAAATTGTGTGCGTTTTGGGATCAAACAGTAAAGTAATATCTTAACTTAATTAAATGTACCTAATAATAAAAATGTGAGAGAAATCAACTTGTGACCAGAGCGGAAAACCAGACAAATGGGGGAAAAACCCCAAAAGAAAATAATAGACTTCCAAACTGTCAAAATGATTTCCCCAGCCCTCTTTGATGACAAAGTTGCTCAAAGAGAAAGACAAACCCATCGATTTGTTCAGCTAGCTTCGTCTTTTTCTCAGAAATCAGTGAATAGCATGGGGAGACAAGAGTGAGCTTCATTCAGGCTGCAGGAGAGCGATAAAGAGCAGAGCTTTCAGCAGATAACAGGAAGGCTTATATGTGTATTATTTTATTCTCTTGAGCTTTCTCTTACATTTAGGGAGCACACCGATTTTGGGAAATGTTGGCATTGTTTTGCGATGCTACCTATGCTAATAGCTAACAAACATGCTGAATGTTGAAAATGGTAAAACCCTGAACGCTTTCTTTTTTAGAAATCATAACTGTCAAACAAATATATGCAGGTAGGCACTGTGAATATTAAAAAAAAGTGTTAGAAATTAGTTACAACAGTCTGATCAGTGACAAACAATCCTGTTTAGGTACCATTATGTTAAACAAGCTAGGATAAAAAGAGTTACCACATGCTTAGCCATTGGTATGGTCATTTGGGCTTAAAGCCAATTAAGACTTTTGCTAATGCCTCTTTTAAGAGCTGGGATCAATCTGGAAACAAAAAAAAAAACATGAAATGAAAATTATATTGAAATGACAGCAGTTCTATAGAATATCCGAATCCTTTCACCTGATAAAAAAACCCAAAAACAATTCATTAGTGGTTCTGAGGAATTAGCTATGTCACAACTTTGACCAACGCTGGCATAAACCTTCTGAAACCAAATGATAAACGGCTGACATAGCTTCTTAATTAAAGGTCAGAAAAAAATAAATAAATAAATAACCCCGCCCCCCGAATAAAAAAATAAATAAAATCTACTGTAACCACATTATGTGGCCCAATATAGAAGTTGTTACTAGTTCAACTGCTCAGTGCAATATTTTCTATGCAATATTTCCACATCCAGTTTAAACATTCACAGTGTTCATGCAAGTAATTCTTCATCATAAAAGTACAAAAGATTCAATATGAATCTATGTCTGCCATTATTAAGACACAATGTCTGATAATATTATTGATATAAGCAGCATTGCTGTTACTCCTTTAAAATCCATAGGATTGGCTACCATATTAAAATTCAACACATAAAATACAGGAAATATGACACAGGTGAAGAGAAACCTTCAAATGGTTGAACTTAAAGGGAATAAAACATCTTGAAGTATACAATCTGAAGCTTCTTGTTTACAAGAAGGAATTTTGGAAACATTTTGCTTCATTTCCTCAGCTTATCCGATTGTAATAACTTCATGGTATGCAACTGCTTTTCAAGTACCTCATTTCAATTAATTCCCAGCTAGAAAGCAAATACCACTAAACACTGCTGCATGCAGAATGGTCAAATTAAAAAAATGAATTTTTAAACAAGATTTTAGCTTAAAAAATAAAATAAGGATCTTAATCTAGGATGTCATCCAGATAAGCAGCAGATTGAATGTTTGATCAAAATATCCAAGATATTCATTTCAATTTAAAACTCCTTTTCTTGTTATTTAATTTCTTCCATCCGAATTAAATCCAAGTAAAGTTATTATTTGGGTCTATGTAATATGAGGCTGCACATCCGGATGTCACCATGATAAAGTTTCAGGATAATTCAGTGCAAAGTTAAGCAGCGAAGTAGGACGTTTTGAAATATCTTACCCTAAAAAAAAAAAAATTTATAAAAACAGTTTAATACTGACATAGGAAATGTTTCCATAAGTATTAATATGATACTGTGGGAAAATATCCACAAACTTACAGCTTCTGCAAAGTACAAAAGATTAAAATGTGTCACACATATAAAGAGACGTCATTGTAAAAGGCACCAGACACATGAACATCACACATAACCAAGCACACATATTAGAGCTAAAGTTTAACCGGCTTCACATACCAGCATGTTTACGGTATATTGGCCATGTTTTTATTGGTATTTTTCGTTTTCTTTTAAATGCTTTTTTAAGACATGAACAGAAATGTGCTCCAGCTGTTTGTCATTCTAACTCTAGTATAGATACACACCACTTGTAAAAAAGGATTCTCTCTAGACATATCTGTTCAGCCTTTACATATAAAAATCTAACTTGTTATAACATGACTAACACAAGGAAAGGAGGGAAAAAAAAAAGTTGAAAGGCTTAATAAAGAGTGACATGTCTGGTTTTACTTATATACATGACCAATACAAATATAATGGTTGCCCCCCTCAACATTTGCCAATAATGAATTTGGAAGTTTAGTTGCCATCTTCCGTAATAAAGAAGGTAGGATCAGTTTTTGTGCGATACAAACAAACATGTAGTGGAGAAGTAATGGAAATTAAACTTACATAAATCTAAAGAAATTTCAAGAGTCGATTCATGGGAGAACACTATTTTAGAAATTTTAGGCATCCCTGATTTCAGTTATAATTTCATAAAAGATAGAAAACTTTGGGAAAGCATAAAGTGATGTATCAAAATAGTGTAGAAATGGGAGTCATTTCCCTTTTTTTTTTTCTTTACTGAACTTCTATTTCTGTAGTTTTAGGGAATCAGGAAGCATCCAATTTATAGAAAAACACACGTCTTCATAATAAAAGAATCAGTAATAATTTGAAATCCCAGTTGAGGATCCTCCTCAGTTCCAACCTTTACAGAAAATTTCTAAATCTCAAATCTGCAGCTAAAAAAACATTATAAGGAATGGATCTGCCCTGTACATCTTGCATTAAAACAATTTCCTCCAATCTTCCAAACATATTTGCTAACTTAAAGAAATCAAGTTCCTCAAATTATAATTATCATAATAACTCTCTTCATCTTAGCAACTCTATAATCTGACCAACTATCATACCACCGGCAAACTAAAGATTGATCCCCCAACGCCGCCCAGTCCACAGCTAAAAGACCAAATTACATTCAGAGGGAAAAACATTTAAACTCTAAATCCAGAGAACTCTGAGAGCCAGAGAATCCACACAGTATTTACAAATTCTACAAAGTGTTTGGTATTCTGAAATGTAACTTTGCTTCAGTTGCTGCTACATCAAACACCCATCCAGTCCTCTGTGCCTGCATGCATCATCCCCACAAGATGGCGCCAATGGCCAGAAATGGAACCCAAAAGCAGGTTCAGGCTGAAACCACCAAAGGGATAAAACAGTGCCATCTACTGAGAGGGAGTAAAAATGACGCCAGCAACAGCCACAACTATCTGCATGAAACTAAAGCATAAAATAGCAAAACAGCAACAAGATGTCACAGCTAGATAACAATCAGGTGTCCTTTTGTGTTTATTAAAGGTAACTAAATGAGGAGGGCAGCAACCATTATCTCATGAAAAGATTTTACCAGTGTCCTTATGAAACAGGGAAAAAGAAAGTTCTCAAACATCAGAGGAGTCAGTATTTAGTGTCTGTTCAAAGATATTTTACATCTAGAGCCTCTTGGTAGGCAAAGTTAAACACACGCATGCACACAGCTATCTTTGTGTTCACTTGTCCAGGCAGGAGGGAGACGAATGATGAAATCTGCGACGAGACGACGAGCGAGTTGAAATAATCCCACAACCGTGTAGAGCAGAGCAAGGTACAAGAAACTCCCACACAAAACCAGGGGAAAGAGACCCTTCGGTGAATCGGTGGCGCTCCTCATCCGTCAATCAGCGACACGTCAATGTGGGACAAATCAATCATGTGCCTGTGTAGCAACGGTGATATTATTGTTTGAACCCCTGACTGATGAGATATATAAGACACTGCAACAGCTAAAATGAAACCATCACAGACTATCAGTGTTTGTAATCGTTTCATTATGCAAACAAAGATGGTGGGAAGGTGAGTATCGATTACCTATGGAAGCTCATTTGGAAGCTTGCTGCATGCTGGGGGTTGGAAAATTTAGCAATTGCTTTTCTCTGCTGGGGCATCATTTTAAACATCTGCAGGAGACAGAGAAGGACAGGACAAAGTGAATAGAGTGAGATACTTATCAAATACACAGGAGAATGAGACGCAAACTGGGATTATTTATTCAACTTCCACATCATCCCAACAGAGGACGCTATGGGATCGCTTTTTTCTTTTTAAACTGCAGAGGGTTAAATTTCATTCCCATTGAACTTTTTCATGTTTTTACACATTGACACCACAAACATCAATGTTTTTTTAAGGAATATATACAACAAAAGTAGACCAAAGTAAAGTTGAAGGAAAATTATCGATATTTAAAAATAGCATTTTTTTTTTTTTTTAACAAATAAAAATTTTAAATTGTAACTGTATTTGACATTCCAGAGAAAGTGATGTTTTTGCTAAATAACTCAAGCTCAATTAGATTAGTATTTTTGAGAATATTCCTTTTAAATTCTTACTGCAGATTGTATTTAGGTCTAGACTCAGTTGGATGGACTGTGGGTTCAGGATGGAAACAAATGTTAACTTTTTTAAATACAACAGGATCTTAGTTTAGCACCAGCTTATGTAAAATATGGTGTCTTGATAAATAACATAGTGTAAAGGCAAAACAACATTTCTGATCAGTTTTTCATTTTGCCATTTTGCCAATAGCTGGAAAGCAAAAAAATACTTCAGCTTTATGTCATTCCTAACATAAAACTGCTATTTCCAACACAGAAAAGGTATTAAACTTCAAAGAGAAAATATGATAAAATTCCATTCATCTTCATCTGCTTATCCGGGGTTGAGTCGTGATAATTGTGTTAATTACGTTATTATGTAACGTTACGTTGTTATTACGTTTATAAGCATAGATGTTATCACTTAACATTGCTGTTATCATTTTATTATCACAAACAGAAGTACTGGTATAAAAGTATTTTAGCGTTTTTCTTCATCCTCAACACAAAACCTTTAACAGTCTTACATCATATCAATCAGGGATTAATTATCACTATAAAGGAGCAAAAGGAAACTAATCTTGGGTAGTAAAACATCCTCTACAGATAATTGCTTCATCATCACCACCATCTAGTTCTGATTAACTGAGCCAACCAAAGACATGGATATATGTTTTTGGGTTTTGCTCCATCCATATTGCAATCAGCTAGGACAAACTTCCCTATACTTACTAGAGAAAAGCATCCCCACAGCATGATGCTGCCACCACCATGGGGATCATGTTGGCTCTGGGTTCTTTAGTATTGTTACATTGGAGCAGGGGTCTTCAATGTTTTCCAGGCCAAGGACCCCCAAACTAATGGCGAGATTGAGCTGGGACCCCCTAATTATGTATATTGTAAGAAATTCTGTTATATCAAACTGGTCCCATAGTCACTCTATTACAGATGGAGTAATATAACGAAAGTAATTTCTCCCTGGGATTATTAAAGTATTTCTGATTCTGATTCCTGGTTGATGGTACAGGTGTTGTGAATGAAACAGTTCTCAGCCTGAAAGAGCTCCTGTGTGTCGCTAAATGTGTTCATTGATGACTGTAAGACATCTTCTGCCTTCATTTATCTGTTTACTTCAGTGTGTTGAATTCATGTCGATGTGTATTTAAAGACATTTCAATTAGTGTAAAAAATTGAAGAGGAGAATATAAAAAGTCTAATCAACCAAAGCTTTCGCGACCCCCATGCAGAACCTCCGTGGATCCCTAGGGGTCGCAGACCCCTTGTTGAAGACCTCCGCGCTAGAGGGTTTGTCACTTTCCACATGAGGAATGTTTATTACATAGACATGATGTGTGCTGTGCACAAAAAATTACAATATCTTTTCAAATTTTTAAAAGCTTTTTTTTTTTTTCAGATAAAAAAATGGAAACAAAATAATAAATCAAATTTTTTTTTTTTAGGTAAAACTGGTACAACATAAAAGGTGTTTGGTTCTAAAGGTGTGATGTGTTTGGCCCCTACCTCTACGGGGCCGATGGACATGAGGAGGTTCTTGAGCTGATTTTCAGTTGTAGATGAGGAGAGGCCCTGGATGCACACGGTACTGTGAGCGTTATCTGGTCCTCTCTGGCTTTGCCTAGTGGGCAATGGTTGACCCCTTCCGATGCCTCTACCTCGACCCCGGCCCGATACCACAACCTAAAACAAAGGATTGAGTGTGAAAATGACACAAGGCCTAAAATAAAAGCCACAACCAGCTCCTTCTTTAACAATTTTGCTAAAAAAAAAAATAAAGAGATGTCTTTAGGTAAAGGCACATTTAAAAATCCACATGTCTCTCTTGACTTTCAAACTTGTAACGTGATTGACTCATCATATTTTTACACAGAACATAAACGACAGAAGATGATGCCAGACTGCATGACATATCTTCATATGATCATGTTTGAGAGAGGCAGATTTCCCCCAGTGCAGGAAAAAATGGGGAGGGAGAAGCCCCCAAAGAAAGAGGAGGTGGGGGGAACAGGGGAGCATAAAGAGAGAGCAGCCATGCAGGCGTAGTGGTGGCTGCCTTACACTGTCAGCATCTGCGGGTATGAAATCATTGACGGGAGGCGGGTGGTGACATATGCGCATAAAGGCCAGGGGAAATGGTGGAGCCCTGCTTGTTCTGCTGCTCTCAGCCTGTCAATACTCCTGAACCTGGCTCCCTGTCCTGTCCTACTGCCTGATTGGTACATCTACTGAGCTCCAGGATCATGCATTTTAACAGGAGACATTTTGGCATGCATGAAACAAAAGTCGACATGGTTAATAAATACATTTCAGGTGAAAAGATTATTAGTGTCCTTAAAACTAAAGACACATGGAGGGATCTCTTTTATGTCATACCCTGCTCTGCTGTGTATCTCCTGTGCCCCCACAGCTAGCCTCCGGTGCTCCACCTGGTCCCGTTTGCTGCTGTCCCATCATGGTCACCTTCCTTTGGATGCTCTGGTTGACTGGAGCTGCTTGCCAGGTGCCTTGCTGCTGTACTGGGCTGCTACTCGCCTCAGGCCCCTTTCCACTCTGGATGTGAACAATGGATAAAAGCACTGACTTAGTTTTTTTTTTTTATTCTGCTCCTCTTTGTGTATCTTATACATTTAAATGGTTTTCTTCATGTTTCCTGTCCCTGTATCCCAGACATAACATGCATAAAAAAATGCTAATTTTGTTTCCCTTCATTAATGCATATTCATTTATGTCGATCACCCATAAATCATTTGTGTGTAACACAAATAAAATATAAAACAATTCAAAGGCTATTCGGACTTTTGCAAGGCACTGAATATGATACAATGGAGGGTTGCGTAAGGATCTCCACAAAGGAAACTAAATATCTGCAATCGCTGGAACTGGATTTCTATCAGCCACTCTGCAGACAATAAAGATCAACCCAACAAGGTGATGGTCTCATTATCAAATAAAGTCACAGCTCTGCTCTGTTGACACGCAGCGAGGAATTGAAGGTCGTCCCTTCTCAGACTCTGCAGAAAGATGTGACAGATCAATACATGGGAAGAAAAGAGGCTCTATCTCTGACCTGTCCCCAGCGAGGAGTAAATGGATTAATCCCTTCTATAGAAATCACAGCTCCTGATTGCGCCCATCAAATGCTAAGCTGCATTACACTGAAGCGACAGCAGCTCGATTTGTATCCCATCCCCCCCACTTCACACACACCCCCCATTTTCCTGAGCTTTTGTGTTTTGCACTGCTTTTGTATTACCTCCTGATGAAAATATAATTTGCCTCTTATCTCTGTGCCTAAGCTATAGAAATCCAAATCCTGAAAAGTGGCAACTTTCTTACACAGGTAGTCTTATTCCCTCTGCACCTTCAACCAAGAAAGATTAATTACAAGGTTCCTGGATTGGCAGCTTTTGTTGCCTCACACCTGAGAGATGGGCTGATATGAAAATCAAGTGAGGGATGACAAGCGGGAAGAGGGAAGGGGAATAAGAGGAGATAACATTGTCAAGCTCTTGTTGATGACAGCAGAACGGTGTAGGAGAATCTTCTTCACTCTGAAACTTACGAGGCATTTAGGTTTTAGCCATTTTTCCACTCTACTTCAGATTTCCTTCAATGTGTAGCAAATATTAACCAATGACTTTCCGTGAACTTCATCTGTAGCCAGTCTGCTCCTTTAGCGCAGCTGATTCATCATCTGAGACGAGGCCTGAAAGCGGCTTATTTTAAATAATATGACATCTTTCCAACATGTCTCTTCAGGGATGAGCATTAATGCTTAACACACATCCTTTTGTTAGTTTTTTCAAAAAAAAAAAAAGATTAGCGTGTATTAAAGAACAAAGCACTAACTTAAAGCACCTCATACCTATTGAACTTTTTCACAGATTGTCATATTAGTACCCCACATTTCAACGTGTTTATTGAGATTTCTTTGTAATCCACTGCCATCAGGAGCCAACTATCTTCAACAGCAACTATAATCTATCTCAGTAAAACCCCAGCTGTTCCCTGAACGCCTCAGAAACTTGTTAGAAAAAGCATAATCATGGCCTGGAAACACAGCATGCAGGTTAGAGATGAAGTAATTCATTATCTAAGGCAGGGTTAGATTATAAAGAAAAACTTTGAAAGTCTTACAGAACACTGTTACCTATTACACTTTTTTATAGCTTGTGCAAAAACGCAAATGTCATTGGCCAGTAGGGGTGGGTATTACCAAAGAAGTCACTATTCGATTCAAATCACGATTCACAGGCCACGATGCGATTCTATCACGATGCATCACGATACTTGAATTATTGTGATGCATTGCAATATTTTCTCCCCCATGTTTTGTTTTTGAATGACTCGGCACAGTATCCCGCGGCCAGAAATGCTTGTGACACAAGGCAGCATGCGTCACCACATTTGCAGCGACATCTACTGGCCTGGAAGTTGTATTACACTTGTTTTTGGCTGATGTTCGCCAACCATTCATGCAATTTTATTTATTTATTTTTTTTAATTAATAATCGATACTTGGCGTCAAGAATCGATGCAGTGGATCACAAAAATTAGAATCACGATGCATCATCATGACGATTATTTTGCACACCCCTATTGGCCAGTAAAATATTATAAATCCCACACATTTGTGAGGCATCTCATTTGAAAGCTAAGACTGTCAAGTTTTTAGAGATATATAAGAACAAACGGTACGTTTAACACAACATGACCAATGTAGCTTTAAACAGGTTCAAAATTATAATTTTTTCTTCTCTTGCATAAAAAAAGCCATTTTAATATTCTCTATTTAATCATAGATGACCTCTCCAAATCATGATTCGTACAACAACTGTGTAAGATGTCAGATCTCTAGTCCTCAGCATTGGGAACCTGTGATCCATTCTTATAAGCAAAAAGGTTCATTCGTCACAGAATTAGGACCAAAAGTGCCAAACTGGATTATTATAATTTTATGACTAGTTTGACCATTAAAAAAATAATATCTACATAGTGGCTTTACACAAAATTTCATTGAAGCATTTATTTTTATATTTCAAATTTTCAACTTTTCAGAAGTTGGAGTATGCATTTTCTTTATAACAAGTCATTTCTATTCTCCTCTCCCTTCTTGCGCACATAAATAAGAACCATCTTTTAAGACCGCCCCTACACTTCCAATACTTAATTGAAAAGCTTCTCTCATTGGCTAACAAAGTATGTCAGAGTTTGATTGGTCACTGATTTTTTTGGAGTTGCAGCAGAGCAAAGACTACAGTGACCCATGCGCCTGGGGACGGCGTTTCTAACATACAGGACGTCTCTGATGTATTCTACATACTAAGAAAGGAACTTCTGCTTGATTTTGGGAGCAAACAGGTGGTGAATAAGCCCATGTAAAGTAAATCATCTAAAAATGCAGACATATGTCAGTAGACACAGGACAAATTAGCTTTTATCAAATTTATATTTCTTCATGTGGAAAAATAACTTTGGTTGATTGTTACAACAAGTGGTTTTATTTTATGGGAAATACACCTGGATGTTACTTTTACGTGAAGTGTTACCGACAAAATTAGCCAATTTATGCCACGATAGAATGTGTTCTGTAATGCCAAAAGACGGAAAAAAAGGTAACAGGTGAAAATTATAACTTTTAATTTGATAAGAGATTATTAGTTCTTGTTTGTAGAGTATAATTGGCTTACAATTGAGTTGGTCATTTTCTTTAGGGTTTCTTTAGGGTTTTGTTTACAAATATGCTAGCTGTTAGATATAGAATTAAATGCGAAGTTAAAACGATCCGGGTCAAGCAGTGGGAGCCAACGGGTTAAACCCTAAGATGTTGGTGTCATGATGGAAGAGCTACCGGGGTCCATGGCTAAAAAATACTTAGCTCAGCATCTCTAAAATGAAATATGGTGGCGGCCGCATCATTATCAGGGACTCTCGTAGTGGAAGTATTTGCACACGTGCAAGCGGATATATTCACCCAGGTCACCATAAACAGTGTGATTACGGTGCTGAAAGTACTTATTCTAAAGAATGCAGAACTACATGTTATAGAGCTTATTTAACAACTTTTCAGAGAGAATTGAATGTGTTTTACACTCTCTCTGTTGTCTGACGTTATCATCGGATATGCTCTGAGCAGAAGGGCAAAATATAATTACACCATGTCTATCTGGACTTTAGTTGCATCTTTTGTATAGTATGCACTATATACCATAAAGGCACAAAGAAAGAAAACAGAACAAATTAATTCACTATATTTATGTGGAAATCCTAATTCAAAATAAGTTATATGCTGAAAGTACAGAATGATCCCATTTCCAGGACAGATCGGGCACAAACGTGTGAGGCAATAGAGAGGATGTAAACGCATTTAATCTCTTAGAAAAAATAAATACTTAACCTTTAACACACCTATTTATATTTTAGCACACTTATAGGGAGTGAAATAAGTAATCTGTCTTTTTATAAAGTACAATTGAGTATAAATCAGAGTATCCTGGACTGTTAGAGGCTGAGTCTGAGATTCAAACAGGATGGCATAAAGTCAAAACCACAACTGAAGCCTGACTATATCAATTACTGCTCCCATTAGGGGTGTAAATCACACACATCATGGCGATTCAATTCAGGATCGATTTCCTGACCCAACGATTCGATTATTTTCGATACTCAAGAATACACCACGATTCGAATATACCACGATTCGATTCATCGATTTTTTTTTTATTTTTTTTTTTACACCTTACAGGCTAAACAAAGTTTCAAGTTTGAAATAAATCAATTAAAGCTGTAATATCGTTATGAATTTTTTTTAGAAACAGCAAATAACAGAAGTAGAAAAGTTGCATCAAAATATACTGCACAAAAACAGTGCAATGAGTGCAATTCAATACCTCTGCTCCAGACGTCCCCGCCCCCTCCACAGATGCTCCGCTGCACCTCTCCCAAATTGTAGCTGACCGCAAACAGTGTCGCAGACAGGAGGCCAGCTTGTTTTGTTTTTATGACCGAAATTGCGGAAAACAACTTGTGAAGTTTGACCCGCTAGAAAAGCGAGGTGCATGAGAACGCTGGGAGCCTTTTTCCACCTGGATCTCCGCTCTTTTTGGCCCTCATGTCCCTCCGTCGTCGGACTAAACTCGCCCCCACTTCCTCTCTGCCCCGGCCGTATCTAGACCCACAGTGTGTAGCACAGACCACGCTACAATACTGAGCATAATTTAAAAATGTCTGTGTGAAGCTTGCTGCAACACACTGCTGTAAGAGTATAACCAGGAAGTGAGGTAGGAGGGCAAAAAAGGTTTAGCGTCACCGCAGCACGGGAGGTAGAATTACGCCCAGGAGCAAATGGATCAAAATAGACCGGAGGAAAAAAAAAACATGAATCGATTATCTTGCGGACGTGTCGATGCATCGGATCGTCGGCTGTTGGATCGATGCATCGATACAAAACGATTATTATTTACACCCCTAGCTCCCATAAAAGTTAAGATCTAAATCCATCTGAGCATCTAAGAAGATTTAAAGTTACTGTTCTATATTTATACACTATGACTGAGCCTTTTTGCAGCTATTTTAGATTCCTTTCAGATTTTGATCACCTGTTCCAATTTTGTCCAGCTCAAAACTGTATTGTTTGTGGTACAATCTAATAAAAAAAGATATTCCAATGAAAAACTACAATTTCACGATGGCAACACAAGGGAAAATAGAGAGGCATGGAGAGCTTTAAAATTTCCTGTTTCAGGAGTTGGTGGGATAACCACAAATGGACATCTTATGCTTGATTTGCTCACAAGCCTGTAAGAGCAAGTATAGCTGTTCTGCAAATCAACCTTTCAAAGCAGAGCTGAGGAGTCCCTCCCCAACTCTACACATAAATGTCAAAATGCCCTTTTTTTTCCTATTAATGACACCCGACTCTTGAGTTAGAAAAGGTAAAAAGTATGTAAAGACATTGAGGCTTCCTAAAGCTGAACAGAAGAGATGTTTAACAGATCAATTGTACCAAAATGACTTGGACATCTGTGTCATTCTCATAGGTTAGATATCAAGTAGAATACAAAATAGACAGCGAGGGGGTATCAATGGCATTTCCTTTCCCAGCTATGTAGCTTCCCATGTGGGTAAAAATCTACAGGAAAGGACCAAATAAATGTCAGACACAAAAGAAGGTGTCAAATTAAAATGGATTTGTGCTCACCGGTCCAGAAAGTTTGACAACTCTGACTTTTTGTGGCACGTGCTGGGCCTCCATATCAGAACTTTTGGCTCGCTGCATCACAGTTCTTTTAGCCCCAGATTTAGGTCCTTGAGTCTGAGATGGGCCTGGAGGAGGGGCGTTTTTTGGAGGAACTTGAGCGCCAGGTCTGTTTACAGTCTGCAAAGAACTGTTTCTCCTTTGTTGCTGAAGTAGCTGCTGCTGATTCTGCTGGGGCGGCTTCCATTGCTGTTCAGGACCTGAGCTGGGGGTCTGCTGCTCCTGTGTGTTCCCTTTGACCATCTGCAGGCGCGACTTGATGTTGGGACGCAGTGCAGGGTTCTGAGCAGGATTGCAAGGAGGAGGGGCGCTGTCTAGGTTAGGATTGGTTAATGTGTGATTTACTGACTGCTGTGGTCTCTGAGCAACAATCCTCTGCTGCTGTGTCTGCAGTTGTTGCACTTTTTGTTCTGGCTGCTGTTTTTGCTGATTTGGTTGCAAAGGCTGAGCCTGTGTAGGAGTAGTGTCTTGGTTTGGTGTATTTGACTGAGCATTAAGTCTCTCCAGCAGCTCCTTCTTCCGGACACCAGCCTGCATTTGCCGCCGCAACTCCTTCTTTCTCAGGATCTCCTCCCTCAGTCTCTTCTGCTCCTCAATCTTCAGACGGTACTGCCGTGTCTCTTCATCTTCATTAGGGTCCTGCATCACAAATAACATGTTAAAACACATTTTTAAACTGTGATTGAACTTCATCACTAACATCCATCTTGTTTTAAGTAATCCTAGACTTTTTGCATACCAAAATGGAAAAGCAAATAGCAAAGGAACTGTAAGGCTAAATTACATTGTAAGGCTATACATGAAAATAGTGAGATTAAAACACAGCTTAATTTTGGTCCTCAAACTCCCCATCACATTTTTCTTTTTAATCATCATATTTTTATGTTTTTACATGTTTATTCTTTGCTTTCTTTTTAAGTCCGTACTGCTCAAATTAACTGCCCCTGCTGGAATTAATAAAGTGGTCCAAGACTAAGCCTAAACTGCATTAGTTCAAACTCATAGTTTTTTTTCTCAAAAACAATGTCTTTTTGAATTAATTTAGGAAAAGTGGTAAAAACAAACATACCAGAAACATAAACAATGACCAGAAATGTTTGGGGAATGTAGTGGTATTAGCAAAATGGTTAGCATTGGCTATATGGATCAAACTTTTCTGATGGTTAAAAAATTAATGTGATTATTTTCTCATCATGAATATTTCATTATGAATATGCTGAATTTCTTTCTATCTGTGGACCCCTATAGACAAATAGAATATAAACAATCAAAGATTGAACTTCTAATAAGGCCTTGGGACCCCTTCAATGGTAGGAAACATGCATTAATATGCATTAAGAGTGTGCCCACCAAAATTGAAACCCTTATGCTGACCCCGAGCATGGACTGCAAAGATACTATACTTTCATAAAAGCAGCAGACGCTTCTACTGTGCCACCCAAGCACAACAGAAAATTCAATGCAGCACAGCAAAATGGGCGATATTGAGGAGTTTCAAATTTCTTCCTTTTTTAAGCAGAACAGCACAAAGTTCACAAAACAGAATAAATAACGCTGAACCAGACTCTCGATCAATAAAGGTTTCTGAGCTAGCATGCCTCCACTCTGGCATTTATTTTCTCTGAGGCTCTGCTTAAGAATGAACAGAGGCGCCCTCTAGTGGATAACACTACAACACTGAAAAATGGTGCATCTAAGTGGACAATATCAGTTTGGATGGACTTAATTTTAACCTAATAAACCATTAAATTTGTTGATTATTTTACACTGCGGTTCAAATGTTTCGGTCTGGGGCTACGAGAGTCACATCGCTTAAACAGACCCATGAAAACAGTGACCATTACATTTCCTTCTTATGAAGCTTTTTTTTCTTAGTACTGTTTATACATAAAAAGAAAATTACTTTATAAGAAAAAATTAGTTATGTTAATCATATAGATTTAAAACTCAATTATCTACACAGTGATTTTCATCCTTATTTTTTGTTTTCTCTGGATTTGGGTCCGATCCTAAATCACTGACCTCTGGTGTTAAGCTGGATGATGCATTTGGAGCTTCCTGTTGAGTCACCACCCTGCCTGTCCCCCCAGCCTGTGGTTCAGTCTTCGCAGCTTGGCCTCTTCCTCTGCCGCCACCATACGCCAGCTGAGCGTTCTGCCCCGGACGCGTCCCTGGCGTTGTCCTGGCAACAGGCTTGATGTTGGCAGCAGGGGAGGAACTGTTCATGTTAGTGTTACCAGGTGCTACAGGGAGCTCCCGTAGGTTGCTGTTGCGATGCTGCATTTGTTTGGAGACGGGTGTGCTCTGAAGACATGGTAACATGACAGGAAAAAATAAAAAGATTTGACCTGTATCTTAGATTATTTTGTAATCTTTGCATAATTTCTGCCTTAAATAAAACTGCGTTTTTCTACCTTAAGACAAAATTAAATGACACTGATCTGCGTGACACGGACGCAGCAAAATAACGAGCGTGTAGGATAATCTCTTACCATTCTCTGCCTGTTTGACATGTTCCTCTGTGGGGGGTTCTGGGAACGGGGATTCGTATGCCTGGGGCCACCATGTCCCTGCTGCTGATGGAAAGGATTCTGACCATGATGTGACATGGGCCGAGGCTCGTTGAGATTTATCTGTTGGTGCTGCTGATGGGGCATCTCTTGCCTATGGTGGTGGGGCTGCTGCTGGTGCATGGAATGGGGTGATAAGGGGTCGTGATGCGTCAGCTGGTTGACAGGCGGCGTTTGTAACAAGCCCTACAATGGAAGCAGAATGCATACCCATTTAAACAAGCACTTTCAGAACATTAGATTTCTTCATTCTTTATTACCCTGTAATACACTAAGCAACTTGTGCAGAATCAAGAAACTTCTTGTATTTTATTGCTCCATCTTCAGTGAGATATCACAAGGGTTGGTTGTGGGGCCTTTATTTTTTTTCCAGCAAAAGCCCCAACAAGGAAAAAAAAAGAGGAGAAAGCCCAAAAATGCCTTTCCTTGAAATGCCAATGACATCCAGCTCCACAGAGCTGAGCTTTATTATTTTCCCAACTTAATATAAGTAGCACCCGGTGAAAAACTAGAGTTATTCCATATTCAGATCCCCATTTAGATAAAAACATTTCTAAAATAGGTCTAAAATATCCCAACACACAAACATTTCCCTCCAGCTGTAGGCTCTTGTTGTTGCCATGCCTTCCAGTTTCTCAGTGTTTGGAGGTTATTGTTTTCAAGGAGTATTCTGATTTAAATTTAAGACACAAGATTTTTGAAAACAAAAATCCAACCAATTGAGTTCAGTTCTATGTAAACATGTTAATTACTAGTCTGTCAGCCTTACTTGGTCTGATATATGATTCAAGGGCAATAAACTTAGATATCTTCCAACCTTGCAATTTATAGCAGTAACTTATAGCTATCTATAAACAAAAACAATCACATTGTCTTATTTAAGTGTATAATACCTAATTATCATATTCTAAGAGTAAAAATACTTATTCCACTGGCATATTGATTTATTTAATATGCCAGATGACTAATGTTACATTCAGACCACAAGCCCTAGAAGCAGCAGAATTTACACGCAAAGTTTATGGTTGAAGCGCATCAACGCACAGCCAAAGGTTCTGCAGCGCGTTATGAGCAGCAGAAGCAGCACCTCATGAGCGTCTGAGCATCTGACATGCAGGTACTGGCCGTTCAATGGCGGTCTGAGCGGCTCCAACAGCAAAATAATATTTGAAGGCAGGATTGTAATGTTAATCGACTGCACTGATGGTGTTTTCAGGAGGACTTTCTCATTTAAAAACTCACTTACAGTGTTGTTTTCATCAATGATGACAATGACTAAATTATTTTGTTGACGCTCCTTTTTTTCACGATGATAACGAAAACTGACGAGCTAAACATGGATCTTTGTTGATGAAAACTTCAGAGTAATGGGTGTGAGTTTTAGTCAACGAGACAACATGAGACAAAATAAAAATTAGTGGGTGGTCTGTCAGACATTTAAAATGCATTGTGCTGTATCTGCTAAGCAGTATCAGCCGTGGAGCTGCGTCCTGTTTGAACACGCAACCCAAATGTTTCTTTGTGCATGCATCGCTCAGAGTCTGCGCTTCTCTCCCTCCACACTGATGGTTCGCGCTCAGCAGTATGTCTTTTCCTGCTCTCACTACTTAATAAACTATATGAGGCTGATCATCCTCTGCCAAGCGTAAACATTTTTATTTCTTCCAGTTCATAAGAAGTGATACTAAACATTCTTTATTTTCTACCAAAAGGAATATCTAAATTATATCCAAAGCAAATATTTCATTGCATACTGTTTATTTTTGGATAAAGAACCAGGTGAAAAGGTACATGCATCTTCAAATATTTTTTTCCTCATAGTTCTCGTTTCTATCTATTCAAATGCGATGTAAATGTTTCCTTGTTTTGCATTAAAACATTTTCTCCATTTCCTTTAAATACCTCAACATTTTAGTTAGCACAGTTCTTCAAAAACAGAAACAGAAGTTTGACTTGTTGGAGTTGACTTATTTAAGGGTGAAGGATCCAATCAACAGCAACACAAAGTTAAAACTGATTCATATCAGGGAAAAAAACAGTCAACTTTAGGATTCATAAATTTCTGAATCACTGTTCTTGGTCCTTGAGTTAAGGAGCTATCATAGAATCACCAACACACTTTATGATGAATTTATTTGTGAATGAAATACATTTCAGAATAAATTAATAAGTGCTTCTCAGATGCAATTAATTTTTTTTATTAAGTAACCTCAACCATGAGACTCTTTAAACCAAGTCTAAAATCTTAACTTGGCCTTAATTGTCTGCTTATTATTCTGACTGTATTTCCTTTCTGGATGTTTATTCCATACATGTTTACTGGGACTTAACCTAAACTCAAGTTTCATGTTATTTTATCTGTTGTGGAGTTTCAGATATGATCTACATCCTTTTGCCAGAGAAAATTATGTGTTATATAAATACAACTTTTTCACTTCTACATCCGTCATGCAATAAGGATGCTCTCACTAGGGGGAGCTGTAGTGTGTTTCTCTTCAAAAATGTAAGTACTCAAAACACCTAACAGAAGAAAATGAAGTAGCGCATAGACAAGACAAATAAATGAATAATAGAAAGATCACTTACTCTTAGTCGTACCTGCATCCCAAACTGAAATGGTGGAGGGGGGAAGGTGCTACCCTGCTGGCCAAATGGCTGCCGAGGGTTCATGAAAGGTCGGGGCTGGTTTGGGGGGCCACCTTGTTGATTCATGTTCGCCATCCCATGATGACCTTGGTGTGGGGGGAGGTTGGGTCTTGGGGGTTCTCTCTGAAAATGTCCTAACGGGCCCTGGCCCGGCTGGTTGAAGGGTGGTCCAGGAGGGCCGAAGCCCATGTGGCCCTGACCGGGCAGCTGCTGCTGGTGGTGGAGGTTGTTGCCGCTGTTCATCAAAGAGCCGGGCCCCGGGTGATCGAACATGTGCTGCCCTGGAAATCGGGATGATTCTCCGCAGTCTGTGTCCACACCGGGAAGACAAAATAACAAAACAACTGTGATCCCTTTCTACTGAAGAAGAAACTTCAAAACAAATCACAACCTCTCCAAATTGTTGCATGAAAAACAGTAGACAGCTCTATTAGGGTAAAGAGGTAAACATGAACATAGGCAATCAATTTTGCATTAATAACGGGTACAAAAAAAGAGAAATATCATAAATATTTATGTTTAATGCCATTTTCAAGGTTCATTCACATGTATATACATACATGCATTTAACATGAGATCTGCTAATACAGAAACACTAGAGAGCTGGCAGCATACCCTCTAGGTATAGTGCTAGAGGTGATGAAGAGGGGCTCAATATGCTCAGAAAGCTTCGTAACACTCATCAAGGCTAGGCGTTAAGACTCACCTCCCATAAATATAGGCTCTCTGTCCTGGGGGCCTTGAGGTGGCTGGTTCCTTAAGGGCTCCATGTGATGAGGCAGTCGGTGGGATGGACCAAAATTAGCCGGCATGTGCGGCTGGAAATCTCCCAGGCCCTGAAAAACCCACAAAACTCATGAATCATTTGCCAGACTGAAAACTCGATAATTGAAAAAAAAAAAAAAAAAAAAAAGAACCTAACTAATAAAGGGAATTGGAGGAGAATTACACTGGGCGTAATTGAAGTGCCAGGGTCATTAAACAGACGTAGAGTCTTAAGTTGTAAACATCAATATGTATGCCAATACTAAAGGAACCCTTCAGCGTGTATTCCTGCAAACCTGCATTAATATTTCTTGGGGCTTTATTGATATAAATGAAGAGCCGGCCTCTTAACGAGGAACGGGTGTTTTAGAAGGGAATAGGTTCCCTCATCTTTGTTTCAACCACTTCGTCTGGTCGACAGCATTGCATCCAATCAATTTAACCAAGAAAAACAGATGACTATTTAATCCCTCCTTGGAATTTGAATCCCCCTTCATAACTGTCTCCTTTATTCTTTAAACATCCATCTTTGTTGAAAAATTAACCTCCTATTCAACACATGGCACTTCCACAAATGGGCTGCTTGCCTTCTCCAAACCTATTGTAAATTACTTAAGATGCTATCAAGGCCTAATCCATCTTTACTAAACCACCGCATGGAGGTATTTAGAGAAAAGAGGTGTTAAAAAGCAAGGCCAGAGTCCCCAAAACTTGCTTAACATAAAGTTAATCAAAGGAGCTTACAAAGACAGGGGATCACAAAGGGGGCACAATCATACTATTCTAAAAGGTCAGACAGACGGGTTTGCACAATGAGGACTCTCGTGTCCGTATAATACCTCTCAAATACCACAGCTCATCCTCTCACTTCTAATCCTTGATAAAATAGCGTCTGCAAAGCTCAATATTTGAGTGAAGCTGGGACAGCTCCAAGCTAAGAAGGTATAATATGGGCAAATATATTAGAGGAAGGCCAAATGTTAACACACCTAATAAATAATGAACATTTGATTTTAATAAGAAGGTTATTTTAAGAAAAGCCAAGACTAAAATGTAGAGCTAAAATGTTAAAAAAAAAATGCATAAATGTCACGTTAAAATCAATTTATTCATATGTTGGCATCTGGAAGCTTTACGTTACGCTTCTTTCCAATTTATCTTTGTTGCAATCCCTATTAGGATCATCTGACTGGTAAAAGTTTAACAGATCACCAATATCTCTAGACCCATCCACAGATTCTCCATCTGATTTCTGTTGGGACTCTGTTTGGGTAATCTGTTGGTTAACAATAAATGGGTCAGTTGTACTCATATCTATCATTGCTGACTATTCTCAGTGTGAGTAATATCGCTTGATCAAACCTTTTCTAACATTCCACACTACAAAAATGGTATTCAAATGAGGTATGATTTGTGCCGATATCGAATTGTAAAAATATCGGTATTGGTCAGATCTCAAAAGTGCCAAATCTGTATCGTATCAGAAATGAAAAGTTGTATCGGGTCGTCTGTACTATAAACCAAAAGAGACCTGCTGGTAAAACGAAACAATTACTTTAGAACAAATCATCTTTAAATAAATTAGTTGTTTACCCGCAGTATTTCCTTATCATATAGTGGAAAGGGCAACTGCAACTCCCCTTCATCCCCCTTTTTTTTTCTGAAAGCGTTGTGTCACCCAGACATGGAAACACGTGCTTTGATAAAAGTGAACAAAAAATAAGCCCAGTGAACACAGATCATGGCAAAAAAAGATGTTACAACATCTTGCAAAACAAGTTAAAATGTCTGCTTTTCTTAAACGCTCCAGAGTTGTGAGGATAGTTTCTGAGTGCTACAACCAGATCGATAGTTAATAGTAAGTGGAAATGAGAGGCTCCAAAGTCAATGCTAGCCTTAGCTTTGTTAGTGGTTTGTATAAAATGTATACTTTGATTGTGGTTTATATTGTAACAGCGCTTGTCTGAGAAAGCTGCAAAAAAAAAAAAAAAAAAAAAAAACTTCCTTTGTGTATAAACTAGCTAATAGTGACAAAAAAAGCAGCATTATTGAAGTGCTTACAAACAGTTCATCCATTAGTCACTTTGTAACCAATGCTAAAACAAGGACACAAAATGCAGCCAAACCAGTGATTTCACAGTGATCAAGACTTATTTAAAGGGGTCATAGAATGATTATATAGGGTATTTGATGCTGGTCCTTAAGGTCTCAGAATAGGGTGTGTAATTTGCTGTTCTATGAGCCCTAAAGCGAGCCGGGTTATAAGCCCTAGAATGAAACGTCAACTTTTCCTTTTTTGGTATGCTCATGAAAATTTAGATGAGCTGTGCGCTGATTGGTTGGTTTACGACGAGCGAAGCTGCTGAGCAAAGACGCATCATAGCAACAAGCACTCACTCACTGAAACATCAAATTGTTGATCTGGCAGGGTGACCAGACATGTCCTACTTTACCTACCTAAAAAAATTAAAGAGGGGAATTTCAAAATCTTCTGGGATTTTGGTCAACTACAACGCAGCAGAACCGAACTCCGACAGATGGGGGGAGGGAGCCAGCGGGGAACGGAATGACCAAAACCGACCCGGTGACGGTAACCTGGACACAGGCGACCCTGTGCTTACCCCTGCCTGCCTCACGGTAGCACGGTAAGGCAGGGAAGCATACCGTCACCGGTTCGGTCCCTCCATCCTCCGCTGACTCGCTGCCCCTATCCGCCGGGATTCCCGGACCAGCCCCAGAGCTGATGGCTCGGTTCCAGTCAGCGACCTAGCAGATCCCTCTTTTCTCTAAAAAATACTGCATTTACGCCCGTGGTTCTGGATCATTTTCAATAGAGAAACTGCCTGCTTTGTAATTCTTGTAGAAGTAAATCCAACTGTAGTCTAAACAGCTAAACTGGTGTCTTACATCTACTTCTATTCATGTTCTTGGGCCAGTGAACCAGTGAGCTGGTCTGTATGTCAAGTTTGGGGCGTGATAAAAGTACAGGCCAGAACCAAATAAGGCAACATCACCGAGATGACGTCAACTCTGTGCTTCATTCGTTCGCCCGTTTTATGGTGGACGTTTAGAATTGTGAGGTTTGCAGAGAAAGGAGGTGTCTATGGGGTTTGAATTTCTCTGTACGTCCATTTCACCCACTGAACTATCGTTAATCATCTATGACAAGGTAAACTCTGGTTTTGCATTCTATCACCCTTTTAACGTTTCTCCCTCTCTAAAGTTGGCAGTCCAATCAATGAGCAGACTATATGAAGCATCTCCATAAAACAATCTCTGCAACAAATCAAAGGCTTCTTCATTTTCTCTGTAAAACTTAAGGCTCTTACATCCTGGCCTCAAACAAACCACTTATATTTACTCCTACTGACAATTACAACTACAGTGCTTTAACAGACAGGCTTTGTTTTAAGAAGAAACATTGTGGCTTTTTATTATCTCAACATTTTAGCCAAACATCATGATGAATGTATTTTGTAGTTCATAGTTATGTTCTAATTCAAACAATAAAGATGTATTTCAGGTAACTACTGAGCTTTTATACATCGTGTTTTCTTTCTAAAGTTAGATGTAGCAGAAGGAGATTCAACATGTTTTATTACCCTTTTTCGAACAGGTACTGGATTAGTCAATTGAAACAGCTCAAATGTCACTATTATTTGCTTTGAATTTTCATTAAAGCATGTTTTAATAAAAAACAGAAAAGGTCTAAATCATTATATTTGATAAGGGGATGAAAAGAAGACATTTTTTTTCTTCTAAAGGGGGACTTGGACTATATCATGAATGAAGCGATAGTTGTAACTATCCTTTTAAATTGCCCAAACACACTCAGGGTAATGTTTTACAGTCCATCGCTCTAACAATGATAAAATAACAAAGATTCAATTTAATCCTACTTAAAACAGTAGCAAACAGACCACAGTGTAGCAGGACGATGAACTGGCTAGTTGGGGTTTGTTATCTCCCTCAGCACAGATGATTTTGCAACATTAATTCTTGCTCACACACCTCATTAGCAACTCCTAAAGAGCCACCAGAATCAGCAGGACCCACCAGGAGATGACTGGTTATGGATGGCAGTGAGCCAAGCATCCTTTTCCAGCAGATTATCGTGTAGGATTATAATGATTTGTATCGTGGACATGTTTTCAAAGCTAGGCATAAAAAAAAAAACACCCCAATCAATCTATTTTTTTTTTCTTCAAAATTCAAAAAGATCAATTCTTTTGTTGAATAAACTAAACACTCATTAGAGGCTGAAGTTTAGTGGTTAAAAAGGTGTAAAAATTATTCCTAACAATGACTTTAATTGGTTTTAAGATTAATATTTCAAAACCTGTCTCCGCAAGCAAAGATTCAGCGCATTAATACTGGAGGCTATGACCCTCCCATTAGTCTGGCCTTTAAACAATTAAATTTGATGGGATGATAATGTATGATAATCACTAGTAATCACATGTCCACTGATAAATGGAAAGTTGCCGGCTGGTGTGTCACCTGCATTTCAAATTGTGTCCTTGGCAACGGCAGCCTAAACGTGACTGACAGCTGGGAATCCAACATCGGGTTGTTGTGTGCCAACTTGTCTAAATTCTCTCCCCATTACATCTCTGACTATCTGATAAGAGGCTAAATTCTTTTAAAGCAACCAGAGTAGTATCATTCTGACACAAGAAATGGATAAATAAAAAATACAGCCATTCATTAGGAGTATCTCCAGAGAAACAGCCAAGCTCATTTGTACATCCACATGAAGGCAATTGGATGTAGTCATTTTCTGATTGCTAATTTGCATAAATCCATACAAAATGCAATTTCCCAAAATATGTCAGTCAGCAGCAGCAACACCTGATGCCTGGCCGTAATTATCTAAAAGGATGGAGTAACTTAGGGGACTTCAGCTGACTTTAGGGCAAGCAGGTCTCCTTGATGTGGTAATGACTGGAAAGATATTTCTGTCAGGTTTGGGGAGGGTTTCTTTTTAAGTGAAATGGGAGGGCCTTTCTTACAGGAAATCACTAATATCAGATACATTTGTATGACATGGCATTCAACCAAGATGGAGAAGAAAAAAGCATCAATCCACCACCATGTTTCACAGGCTCAGATCTCATTTAAGAACCATTCTGACTCTCTAGGACACAAACATGTGGAGTGAATTTTAACCAGCAGTATATCCTGTATTCACAATTCCATTATGTGCCAAACTGGCTTGTCTGAGCTCCAAACCATCCATGAAGAGCTGTTAAGTAATTCCCGTCACCACGGCCCCTGCCTTCAAAAAGCCGTCTGCCTGAAGCTCCTATCACGCATTTCCAGTCGTGCAGCCGAGCTCCTATCAGTGTTTACGGATTTTCTTTAACATTATTTGGCCGGAGCAGTTGGTCTAATTGAAGTAATGATATTTCCTCTAACATAAAGGGACACGGACCGTGTGGCTAGTGAAAGAAAGTGAAGCAAATGGAAGGTGGAGGAGCAGCTGCTACTCACAGGAAACCTCTGAGGACCCACAGCAGGTCTGGATTGGCTCTGAGCAGGAGGCATCAAGGGCACTGCAATGAGAAGAGAGGGGCAAAAGGAGGGGAGGGGGAGGGGTGGATGATGAAAATCAGAGGTAGTAGGCAGAGAGAGGGAATGTTTGTACAGAGGAAGAGATGCCTTTATGCTAAGGGCTCTTGGTTCAAAAAATATTAAATCCCACCACACTTTTTTTTTTTTTATATACATTGCTAGTTGTGGAACAGGGAGCTCAAGGCCAAACTAAATAAATAAAAAAATAAGTAAAGAAGGTATTTGGCATTTCCTAACCTCCATCGAATAATTCAATGAGCTTGATTTCGAAGCAACTACCTCTTTTTTTTTTTTTTTACGGCATATCAAAAATGTATTTGGAACTTTTCCACTTAAACTGGTGTAAATAAATATCGAAGATACAAAAATGCATTCACTAAAGCACGGTAACATAATTCTACATATCTTTGCATTTCAATGGTTCCTACAATATTTGATTTCAAACTTCTGCTTTTCAGACTCCTTTCTCACATTTTTTTTTTCAAATGTCAGAGGATTCTGTACATTTGGAACAGAACATGAGTCTAGTCTGTTTTGCTTATTTGTCACAGTCATGAAATGAGCACACCATAGTTTGATGAACGGCTATTTTACTGCTTTTGTCATCTAACAAACCTCTTTTCAAGTCTAGAAACAAAATGCATCAAATCAGGACAATCATTGCATTACATGCAGTCTTTAAAGCCCATTGGTGATCTCAAATACATATTTTATGCTTTAGAAAATTCAAGAAATATACCGAATGAAAACCCCAACCTTCAAGGATCTTTAGAGATCCTAAAGATCTTTGAATAAATCAGCTTTTATCCATGAGATCTTGAACAGGAATTAAAATATGGTCCACACTTGTGACCTTTTTTTTTTTCTATAATCTTTTTACCGCTGTAAACACCAGAATGTCCCCAATGTGGGACAACAAAGGGATTTTCTATTCTTTTCTATTCTATTCTAAAATAAAGGCCATATATGATATGGATGAAAACTTAAGTGATGATTTAGCAAAATGAGAGATACAGATTGCGGTGTAAAAGAAATCTAATTTTAACAAATATTTTACTATTAGATAGTCAGATTGTATCCATTAGTCGATTTGTCTAAAAACTATGAAAATTTAGCTTTATTATTATTCTCTCTTTGATACGTTTTTAGTCCTGGACAATCAGCTAATAACCAAACCTCGATGACAAAATATTTGGTGTTAAGAGAAACAGATAAAAGACATCTAAGTATTTACAAAACTAGACAGATATTTTTATAGGACATTAAGAATGACATGTGGCAGAAACATAAAACTGCTTCCTAAATATATCTCTGAATTTTACATAAATTGAAAATCCTAAAGCTGGCATTACTAAAATAAATGAATCAAAATTTGTTACAGAGGAACTACACCCTTTGGTCTTATTTTTTCTTTATATCACACTATAATCTAATGTATTTTATTGGGATTTCTGTGACTGATCGTCATAAAGTTAAACATACTTTTAAAGTGAAAGAACAAATATTCATGGTTTTTAATAACTCTGACCAGCTTCCCTATCCAGTCTTTAACATCCCAACTGCAAAATATTACCTTTTATAATGGATCTGGTGCATCCAGGGTTATGGGAATGCTGCTTATCAGCAAATATGTTTTTTCTGCACGTTACTAAAAGTTCAAAATCCATTTCAACAAACTAAAACTCCTTCTCCAAAACTTCACTGTGACCCCTGTGTTGCTTGTGAAAAAAATTAACTTCTTCTTATTCAAGTCTTCTTATATATATTTTTTTAAACATCAAGTTTATGGAATGCAGAACTGTATGAAATCAACTGATGCTGTAGATCTAAAAGCTCTCAAAAAGTTAGAAAGGAGTCCGCTCTGATTTAGGTGGACAGTCTCTTTCAGTAGGTTTGCAGTTATAGCATGGATGTTTAAAGCTAAGGATATTGCTTAATACCTAAACCTGCTTTAAATCTACAATGATTAGATGTTTTTTGTGGTTAATTTATTTCCTTTAATAAACCTCTGATGCTATTACAATAAAGCAGTTATGCTGAAATTACATCCAACATTTACAGTTTGAGTAGCTTCTGTTTTGTTGGTTCTGAGATCACAAAAGTCAAAGAACTGTAATTTTTGGAAGATAAGTCTCTACTTTTTTTTTCACAAACGATGCGCCTTTTTTATAGATTTTGTGATATCTTAAGAGGATTTGTTTTGGTTTGCTCCGCTGTTGTACGGCAGTAATTTGCCTGGCAGAAGGGCATGTGATGATGAAGCTGCCCTGAGTCTGTTTGTTTCCAACACTGAAGAGGAGGATTTTGGTGGTTTTAGTGGCTTGGAAAAGAAGACAATGGCGATGAATGACTGACTTTGCTTCTTGTTAAAGCCTAAGCTGTACTTTAGCCCAAAATGTAGGCCGAATCTATTTTTTCTGGTGTGCTGTGTTTTATTTTTATACAGTACATTTGTTACTCATTTAAACAGCACAGTACCCATTTCGTCCTTGCAATTACAGGTAGACGTACATATACGTAAAAAATAACCCAAAAATGTAGCGGTAGCTTGTTTTTTTTTTGTTTTTTTTACTGTCAATAAAAAGGATGTTTCCCAAACAGCCATCTCTTTCTTGACATTCTCCTTTGTGCATATTCTCTTACATGTTTTAATTAAAAATTAAAGCACTGGAGGCTTTTAGTTAGTGCAGTTAAGGTATGAACAAAACAGGGTTTTCCCCTAATTTTGGCTTGTGTGTCTAATTTTCAGGTGCGCCTTGTAGTCCAGAAAAAACGTCATTTTATGCAAATGGATGCCTGCAAATGCACTGTTGTCCTGTAGCCAAATTGTAAGAAATCAATTTTGTATCTTCAGTTTTCTCTAAAGAACGCCAGCAGATGACCTGGTACCATATCTCTTCATCTTCATACCCAGTGCTTCCACAGTTTCAAAAGGTATAGTTATTTTTATTCATATCATATAGTAACATCTACTTCAAGAATATATAATAAAGTAAAGCACCTATTTCTATCATCGCCAATTGAAAATGAGCAAAAACTCTAATTACTAAACAATTATTAGGGTCTAAGGCAGCTAATTTAAAAAGGAAAAGTTAATTTAAAGACACAGTGGGATTGGTGAGCTAACCCACCTTGTACAGAGGACTGTGCAGGTCCTCTGAAGTGGGGATTTATGTGGATGTTTTTGGGCTGAGAGGGCTGTTGCTGATGATGCTGAGGGAAACTAGGTGGTGGGGAGCTCATCATTCGAGGTGGTGGTTGTTCCATCTGGGGCCGCAGCTGTGGGGAGCGGTGAGCCATGTGAGGGGGGATCAGGGGCTGAAGGGGCTGCTGGGGAATGGAGCGCCCATGCTCCTGGAAGGGAGGTGGTCCTCTCGGGCGCGAAGGGTGGTGCTGATGGGAGTGCAGATGCTGCTGATGCGGAGAAGGCATTCGGGAGGATTGCTGTTAATTGGAAATAAAATTAAATAAATAGAAAAACAAGACAAGCTGTCAAAACACAGCTCTCGCTGAAAGAATATGATTAATTTGCAACATGAAGGGTATCTGTTAAGACTAAGTAAATACTTCATAAACTTAATACATAAAGTGAGCTTTAGCAAACGTGAATAACAGCACCTGCTAGTAAAATAATATTCTAACCAACTGATAAATGCTGGGGATATAATCACAGAGAACTCTGATTGGTGTTTCAAACTGATCTTTGATAATTGGTCAAACAAACAAACAAACATGCCACTGACCAAATTAGTCAAATGCCAAAAACCTGACAATTACAGAATGTCGGAAAAAGCACAACCTCATTAACTGCAGTCAACAAAATGTTTGTGCTGTTGGTGTGTCATCCATGTGTCATTAATTTTTCATCCCCTGTGTTGGTGTTGTGTTTGGAATATTCCAACTTATGATCATTAATTAATAAAACCTTAACAAAATGCAGCGCTGGAGTTTAAATTTGATGCAGCCTTGAAAACTACTTTAACCTTAGGCGTTCCTCTTTAGCTCAGTTTGCTTTGTTACCTGTAGCCTTGAGCTAAAGTATGAATAACCGCCACGGATCTATACAGCTTTTGTTGAAAAATGTATTAAGAAAAATTCATCAATTTAAGTTTGGCTTACATGTGCAGTACTTGCATGTGGCGTTGTTGCAGCACATGAAGCAGCTAAGGTTACAACAAAAAGTGTGACTCAAAAGTCATTCTTACAGTGTATCACTTAAGTTATTTAAATAAAGTGTGTTTTCTCTTTGAACTATTTATCTTCAAAAATTAAAAAAATAAAGTTAGAACCAAATCCAAACTATAGAGATATGTCTAATGAAGTTACATGTCTATATTTATGATATTAAACCTATATTTTGACATTACCTATATAGAGAACCAAGAAACCATGGGGGAAAAAAATCAATCACCACATCCTAACCTATTGAGAATAGCAAGTTAAAACTGCTCTATGCAGTGTGGCTAAATGGGAGCCATTAAAATAATAATTTAAAAAGTTTACTGATCGTTATTTACAAATGCATAAAGTCCATTCCTTATCCTTGTCTCCATTACACAGTGGGAATAAACCCAGACCAGACTCTTGATGCATCCATCTGTCAACCCTAGCATTATTTCTCTTGTAAATACCAATGAGGCTCCACTTAAGAATGAGCAGCGGCGCCCTCTAACAGACAGAGGTTAGAATATAACATTGAAGTTATTTTTTTTCTAAGCAGAAATTATCAATTAGCTGGATGAAATAAATCTATTGAATCATTAAGCCGACACTTTATCAAAGATCTTTAGATCCCTAATTCTACATATTCCCTATTAGGGAATGTAATCTTTTCAAAAAACACAATGGTTGTTACCCAACTTTTAAAACTATTAGGCTTCTTAATTGGATCAATGTATTAGCTTTAACCTTTGCTAACGAGTTTCTATGTATAAGTATGAAAGGGATAAGATTTTGAGATAAACATTCAAGGGAAGAACAAGGCTCAGTGGTAGCACAGCATATGCAGAGCTTACAGGCCTTATCAATGCTGTCCCAGTTTTTAAATTTAAGCCACATGTCAAATGCTGCACGTCTTTCTATTCTCCGTCTACACTTCCTCTTGCCTAACTACTAATAAGACCACCACCAGTTTCACAACACTTTTAAAAGAAATGTAAAAATTATCATTTACATTTTTTCTATATTCCTCCTGAAATGGAAAGTGCATGAATAGTACCTGTGTAGTATTTAAAACAAAACTATAAAGCTCTTCACTCAACCACTCAATGGTAATAAGTATTTTTAAGATGTTCCCTGTTACCATTTATTATCTTCGCCTTAAACGCATAATGCTTTTGGCTGTACTGACCCCAAAAAAGCTGTTCATCTGAAAGCTTTTAAACAAAAAAATACAGCTTTTTTGATCCCTTTTATTTTATTGCTCCTAAAAAGATTATTTTTATTTAATACCATAATGTATTTTTTTCTCTGAAAGAGAAAAGAGGTTAGAGCTTTTAAAACATACTGAGCTGTGTTCATGTTAAATACAACAGCTTGCAAAGATATTCATACCCCTTGAACCTTTCCACATTTTGTCACATTACAACCACAAACATAATAGAAATATTTAATTAGAATTTTATATAAAGAAGAAACACAACTTTACAAATAAGCAGAAAAGGGAGGCCTACAATAGTATTTAGCCCTTTTCTCTGAGTGTAGCCAATTGCCTTCAAAGGTTCGCTGATGATTGCTAATGACTAAATAAGAGTTCACCTGTGTGCAAACTAATCTCAGTACAAATACAGCTGTTTTGAGACGAAAATGATTATTTTCTTTTTATCTCATGAAGCACTGTTCAACACATCATCCTGAAAAGAGAATGAAACAACTGCAAACCTATCAAGAAGAGGCCGTCTATCTAAACTAACAGGCCGAACAAGCCAAGAGGCCCTTGCAATCTACAGCTAAGAACATGGGAATCACAGGACAACTATTAGTAATTTACAGGACAAATATAAAGAAAGCCACTATTAAAAGAAAATAAAAAGAAGTCCTGTTTGCCAGAAGCCATTTTGGAGACAGCAAACGCAGAAGAAGGTGCTTTGCTCGGACAAGACCAAAAGGCCAAAACTCTACATGTGGTGGAGAACTAACACTGTACATCACTCTGAACACACCTTTCCCACTGTGAAATATGGTGGTGGCAGCATCATGCTCTGGGAGCGTTTCTCTTCAGCAGGGACAGGTCAGATGCTCAGAGTTGATGGAAAGATGGATAGACTAAATGCAGGGCAATCTGCAAAAAAATCTGTTGGAGTCTGCAAAAGACCTGAGACTCTGGCAGAGATTATGCCACATATTCCTTTAACAGATATTCCTGTGTTAGAATTGTCCAATTAAGTCTAAACCTATACCCCTGAGAATCTGTGGGAGGATCTGAAAAGCTTTAGTTGTTTTACAAAAACTTGGCAAAAATTTCAGCCACGAAATGTGCAAAGCTGATACATATATCCCTTAAAAGACCTGCAGCTGCAACTGCAGCAAAAAGTGGTTCTAGAAGATATTGATATAGAGAGGGCGAATGCATTTACATTATTCAATTTTCAGCTTACAGGTGCTGGTCATAAAATTAGAATATCATGAAAAAGTAGATTGATTTCAGTAATTCCATTTAAAAAGTGAAACTTGTATATTATATTCATACATTACATACAAACTCATATATTTCAGATGTTTATTTTGTTTAATTTTGATGATTACAAATGACAACAAATGAAAATCTCAAATTCATCATATCAGAAAATTAGAATATTGTGAAAAGGTTCAAAATTGATGGCCCCTGGTGCCACACTCTAATCAGCTAATTAACTCAAACCACCTGCAAAAGCCTTTAAATGGTCTTTCAGTCTAGTTCTATAGGCTACACAATCATGGGGAAGACTGCTGACTTGACAGTTGTCCAAAAGACGACCATCGACACCTTGCACAAGGAGGGCAAGACACAAAAGGTCATCGCTAAAGAGGCTGGCTGTTCACAGAGCTCAGTGTCCAAGCACATTAATAGAGAGGCGAAGGGAAGGAAAAGATGTGGTCGAAAAAAGTGTACAAGCAAGAGAGATAACCGCACCCTGGAGAGGATTGTGAAACAAAACCCATTCAAAAATGTGGGGGAGATTCACAAAGAGTGGACTGCAGCTGGAGTGAGTGCTTCAAGAACCACCACACACAGACGTATGAAAGACATGGGTTTCTGCTGTCGCATTCCTTGTGTCAAGCCACTCTTGAACCACAGACAGCGTCAGAAGCGTCTTGCCTGGGCTACAGAGAAACAGGACTGGACTGCTGGTGAGTGGTCCAAAGTCATGTTCTCTGATGAAAGTAAATTTTGCATTTCCTTTGGAAATCAAGGTCCCAGAGTCTGGAGGAAAAGAAGAGAGGCACTTCATCCACGTTGCTTGAAGTCCAGTGTAAAGTTTCCACAGTCAGTGATGGTTTGGGGTGCCATGTCATCTGCTGGTGTTGGTCCATTGTGTTTTCTGAGGTCCAGGGTCAACGCAGCCACATACCAGGAAGTTTTAGAGCACTTCATGCTTCCTGCAGCTGACCAACTTTTTGGAGATGCAGATTTCATTTTCCAACAGGACTTGGCACCTGCACACAGTGCCAAAGCTACCAGTACCTGGTTGAAGGACCATGGTATCCCTGTTCTTAATTGGCCAGCAAACTCTCCTGACCTTAACCCCATAGAAAATCTATGGGGTATTGTGAAGAAGAAGATGCAATACACCAGACCCAACAATTCAGAAGAGCTAAAAGCCACTATTAGAGCAACCTGGGCTATCATAACACCTGAGCAGTGCCACAGACTGATCGACTCCATGCCACGCCGCATTGCTGCAGTAATACAGGCCAAAGGAGGCCCAACTAAATACTGAGTGCTGTACATGCTCATACTTTTCATGTTCATACTTTTCAGTTGGCCAACATTTCTATAAATCCTTTGTTTTTATTGGTCTTCAGTAATATTCTAATTTTCTGATATGATGAATTTGAGATTTTCATTTGTTGTCATTTGTAATCATCAAAATTAAACAAAATAAACATCTGAAATATATGAGTTTGTATGTAATGTATGAATATAATATACAAGTTTCACTTTTTAAATGGAATTACTGAAATCAATCTACTTTTTCGTGATATTCTAATTTTATGACCAGCACCTGTATTTGTAAAAAAAAAAAAAAAAAAAAAAAAAAAAAAAAAAAAATTTGACAAAACATGGAAAAGTTTTAGAAGAACAAATATTTTGGAAGCCATTGTATGTTTTATAGAGTAAAGCAATTTGATTACACAGTACAAAAACAAAATCACGGACTTATCACATGTCAGTGACCCCAAAACAGACTTCAGGCGAGGTTGGAGGTTTAACCCATTTAGGCCGGGAAAGCATTACCGCATTTCTACCATTCAAGCCGGGGGCGCTGTTGCGTAATTCTACCATTGACGCCGGGAGAGCATATAAGTCAAGCAAGAAGAAAGAAGTTTTTTTCAAGCAAACATGGAGGAGTTTGACAGAGAAGAGTTGTCGGAAGGCAGTGATTTTGAGGAGTGTGTCGGCTTTGATGACGGTATAGATGAAAATGATGACTTTGAACGCGCTGAACCAATCGAACTACCACCGCAATGCACGGAGTGTTTTCAACCGCACACCTGGAGTGAAAGTTGATTTGCCTGCAGACGCCACACCGCTGCAGGCATTTGAGCATATTTTTAATGAAGAACTTTGGATGCATCTTGTTACCGAGACGAATAGGTACAGTGACCAAACAAACCAAACTCCAACAAGAGCAAAGATGGCAAAGTGGTCACCCGTGACTGTGACGGAGATGAAGACATTTATTGGGCTGTGTATGTAAACCTCTCTTCAGGACGCAGTTCCTCCAAAATATGTCCCGGGACAGATTTGTGGCCATCTGGAGGTAGGTTGTATGCAATTTATAACACAGACATATGCATTATTATGCATAATAATACTGTTAATAAGTAATCATCAGATAGTTATTTATGTAATGTTTGTTCTTTATTTTGAAAACGTTTTATATTGCACATTCTCAATGAAGACATGATCACATATGGAAAAAATAAAAGGTTGAATTTTTTTTTTTTTGATTACTGCTTTTCACATTTTTTTTTTGGAAGAATTTCAAAGATAAAATATATTTTGAGTTCTATCTGCTACAGAAGCTGAGATATCAATAATTTAGGCGTTGACACAGTTGCTGAATTTACAGAAAAACTTCAGGTTTTAGGGGTATTTTTTAAAATCGGCCATAGGTTTTTAAGGTGTTTTTTCCAGGCGTTTTAGGCCTAAATGGGTTAACATCCAGTAGAACAACCCCACATATACAGCTAAAGCTATGATTTATATCCCAGCATATTCATAAGATAAAATGGCTTGGTCAAAATTCAGGCCAGTATACAAATTAGAAACTATGACCAATCAGACTGACCCTGAGCCCCTTCGCAGGCAAAAATAGTCAATTAAATATGTTTCTACATGTACAAAGCTGACTCTGGGGGGTGCAAACTATATATATTCTGAAAAATTCCAAAATACATCCTTCTTAGTTGTTGTGTATCACATAAAATTACTACAAAATTTGATAGAGTTAAATATGAAATGGTGGAAAGTGAAAGGCTATGGATGTTTACTATATGTACCTTAGGTTTCTAAATGGATTTGGTTAGTTGAGTACTCTGGTTTACCTGTAAGTTCATGTTTCCCATCAGGGGAAGCATATGGTCATGCATTTTTCTTCTTTGACCTCCTCTAAAGTCTGCCATTCCATAGCCAGGGAAACCACCTCTTCCTCTCCCACCTCGTCCTCCTCCTCCTCCTCCTCCTATTCCAGCTCCTCTGCCTCGCCCTCCATGACGGGTGTGTCTCTTCTGCCGCTCGTGTTCCTCAAACTCCAGCAAATCTTTCTTAGCCTTCTCTGAAAGCTCTGAAGTGATGTGAAGAAGAAAAAAATTTGTCTTTAATCTTTCAACGAGTAAAGAAAAAATTCTCCATAAAAACAGCAGAGAAAAAAAAAATGTATACCTAGAGTTTCAGGGATGTTCCTCCTCTTACTGCCGGCATCCGCCAGTCGTACGACGGCGCCTTCCTTCCTCTCAGATTTAAACCGTATTCTACCAGATTCTTCACCTTCATCATCCTCTTCGTCAGATTCCTCCTGTGTTTGTTCACCAGGAAGAGTCTCATTTTCAACCTGGAAACAATGCCGAAAAATTTATATCAACAGTACCAGCCGTAAAATGTCCCTAAGTTTACTTAGGGACATTTTTTTATCTAAGTTTCAGAGTAACTGTGGTTTATTTCAAAGCTTTTGTGTATCAAATTCCAACTTAAAAAATTATCATGACTATTGAAAAGAGCCAGATTTTTCTAAAACTGATTAATTCCATCCAAATATTTAAGCTATCTCCATGTAGCCGTTGAAAAAAAACAAAAAACAAAAACCGATAAAGATTAAGAAGATACGTTTTGCTGCATAAATGGCTGTTAGCATTTAGTTCCTTTATGATCTGCTTAAAATTTAACTACCAGTTCCATCATAATAGTATTTACTTTTTTTATATGTTAATGCCTTTAAAGTCATAGGAAAACGCTGTTCCAAACGTTGCATTTCCGAATTCTCTTAAGGGGCGCCTGAGCTTACAAGAGTGAATAAAGTAAATGTGATTGGTCGTTTACCAAGAGGGTGGGATTGTTGTGGCGGAAGGTTCACAAGCAAGTTTGGTTGTGGTCGGTGTCTCGGAAGTATCTTGTTAACAAGTTAGCAACTTAGTGCTAGTAGGTTCCCAATGGGAAATTACATTGGGACCAAGTAGCACTTAGCAACGACACTGTCAAGCAACGCTATGGACAGCGGAAACATGCAAGAGGAGGAGAGTTTTGTGTTGGAGGTCGTGGATGATTCTCCTCCATCATAAGATTTTTATTCAGAGGAGGAAAGCGGGGATGAAGTTGTTGTGGAAGAGGATGCCAGGGCGGCAGAAGCTTGGTTTGGTGTAGAAGGCTTACAGCCATACATGTTTGAGCCCTTGCCTCACAACGCTGCCAGTTCTGTTAGCTCTACGCCTGCTGAAGACACAGGCGTCCATCCCCGTGAACACTGGGACGTAACTCAATGGTAAAGTAAATGATTGTTATTTCTTATCTCAACCGTTGCATATATTAGCCACGACATATGAATCAAGATGCTATGACCAAAGAAATTTTATTGACAAATGACCGTTGACAAATGATTAGCCGAATTTAGGTGTACAAGCTGACGTATAACTAACTGGCCTGCATAAAATACCAAAAAAAAACAAAAAAAAACACTGATTTTAAGACTGAATTTTTTATAGAAATGTTCTTAATTTTGGGACAATATAGTCTGATAAAGAGTTCATTTATATACATATTTAAGCCTGAATGATTTGACATTTGAATATGATTTCTCTACATCTTTAAAAACAAACAAACCAAAATTGATATACGGTCATAATTAGGACCTTTGGGTCAGTTCTCAGAAAAAAGAAAAAAAAAAAAAACACAGGATAAATGTTGGCCAGAAACAACCAGCAGAAACAACTAATGTTTCTCATGAGTTTCAATAAATTTTATTCAAAACTTTGATATCTTTTTAATGCCACTTTTATTTGAATTTAAAAGCAACTTTAATCATTCAAAGGAACCCAACTTTTAAACCTTAAAAACAAAAGGGGATTATCTCTGTGCCTGTTACATTTATGTTATAACTTCAAGTTTTACATCAAGGTCACCAAACTTAAAACCTATGTAAAGTTAATTGAAAACTTCACAACATTTACTAATAAAGGAGTTACTGAAATCTTCCTTGAAGCAAAAATATTAAACTTTTTTGATAGATGAAGACGCTATAATGAACAAGATAGCATGATAAGACAGTAACCCTTATATAAAACCTTTATACATAATCTGATCTTTACTAGGTATAGTTTCTTTACTGTATCTTTACTGTATTTTCAATAACTAAGGATTATATTATAAATCAATTAATCTGTGGATCCATTAATAATCGGATAGCCAAAGGTTCCTTAAAGAAGAATTTTTTTGTAAATTTAACCAGGTAAAAACAAAACTTTTCCACTGAAAGAGTTCATCGACAATTTTTTTTTATCTTAAATACAAAATGTTTTATATTTTTTCTACAATCCTGTTATAATTGCTTCTCTAAGTGGGTTGCTCTGTCAGCTAAAGGCATGTTTCAGAGTCCCTATACTCCAGTTAACGAATAATTAATTTCTAAATTAGTTGACAATTATTTCAATAATCGATTAATCACGATTAGTCCGCTTAATTGTTTCAGCCCTAATATTTTCACATAAATTCAGAAAGTACACACTATTTAGACACTTTTTTTTTAGAGTAATATCTGCATTATTTAATCTAAACAGAATGAAATCCATGCTGCTTCATTACAAAGAGCTATATTTAAGCTGATTTTTCAGAATATTTACAATTATTCTAAAATAAACAGTATTTGAAACAAAAGAAAATAAAATAATCTTCTCTCTAGGGGTCGGGAGAGGTGCTTTTTGCACCAATTTTTTAAATTTTCTTTATGTTCAAAAATTACAAAGAAATTTTTTTTTTTTCACAGAAATGTTGGCAAAACTAAGTACACAAAAGAAGCTGTATGTTACATAGTGTTAAATGTTACATTTCAACAGAATCAGAGCAGGCTAACCCTACCTCCTCTGTCTCATAGAACCGATGTTCCTCTGTAGGCTCTTCCTTTTCTTGCTGCTCTCTTACTGCTGCCTCTTCCTCCTGACTAGTTTCAGCTTCATTAAGAGGTTCATCACCATTGGATCTTTGGAATTCCTTAAGGGTAGACACACAAAGAAAATATCAGCTCTCTTTTCTGATCAACGTTAAACCGACAATGCTTTGTAAATAATCACAATAGAATTCTGTGAAGGAGAAACCTAGCATGTGTTGTCTAGACGGGAGAATAAACAGAAGAATGAGCAAAGATAGATGAACGTTTGTTGAATTGCTGTATAATTTGCATATTATATATATAAAATCTTTGAGCCAACAGAGAAAAAAAAAAAAAGAAGAGAATGCAGACCAAAATGTTATGGTGAGGATTTGGAAGGCACCAGGGAGCCCCACCCCTTTCCAAAGGCGAATTACCATAACAGTGGGAGCAAGGCTTCATTACTATTCCTGACAGCATTTGAAATTCAATGAGATGTAAATGTTTGACATGATATACAGAAATGCAGCCACAGATAAAAACACACCTCGCCGCTTCAGTGATGGTGAAAATATCATTGACTGACTCCTCACAAATCACTCCGTTATTGGCTGAACTGTGAGTTCACGACTGCGTGGCAAAGGAGGCAAAACGTTCTAGGATGACAAATCTTTTCTCTCTTTTTTTTCTTCTTTTTATTTCCATAACTTTTCTATTCGGCTTTTGATTCGTTGCAATTTATTATTAGAAATTCAAAATAAACCACTCTGCTGTAGAGGTAAAATCTAACAGAGCTAGTAAAGCGATTCAGAATAACAAATATTAAGTGGTAAATAGGGTCAGATTGCAGGTCACACAACAGTGTTTTTCTGTTGTACCCCATTAACCTGCCAACCGGAACGCACATAAATACAGAGCATAAACACAAACTTGCAGAAAGGCAAACAAATGGACAGGCTGCCCCGAGAGAAGAGAGCATCTTAATCATTTAAACCATTCCACAAAATCCACAATGAATATCGGGGTGAGTAAAATGTCAAGGCCAGGTAGTTTGGTTATCTTGTAAACAGCAAAAACGCATCTATATCCACACATGCCCCAAAAGATTTAAAATAGACAGCCACTTTGGCTAAGAAGGTCAACATCTTATCTTTGTTTTGAAAGGGAAGGTAGGTTAATATATCTCTGTCAGGTGCCAAACACAACTGCAGCACCGTAAATGGAGCATAACAGACATTTGCACATGGATCCAGCCTTATCTTTGATCCTCTTAGCCCAGCCTAAGAGGAAAGGGAAAGGAATAAAAGAGAAACCAACATCAATCATTAAGAAACTGTATGGAGTGTCCTCAGGAAGGTCAATAATCTTTTCACCTTTGTGAGACTTTATCAGATCCAGCTTAAAAAGCCAGAGGGAGCAAAAAAAAGCCTCCCACATTAACCTCCAGCGATTGGCAGCACATCTCCCTGACACAAAGAGGCTTCACGCTGCTCTAAAGATACAGGGCCCAAGGTCACAATGGCAGCCTGATTTGAAGGCGACAGCAGAGCATTACTTCGCCCCAAACAAGCCGTCAACAAAACTTTGTCAGCAAGATGGAGAAATTTGCAGGCAGGAGGCGATAATGATTTTAATCGTCCTCTGCCCAAAACCGCCAACAGATGTCTCCTTCTCCTGAATAGATTTTTTTTCATCTAGACTTCTCCCAAAGCGAGACGTTATCTCCAGGACACAATAGAGGTGGGGAGAAAAAGTGAAAGGGAGAACAGGTGAACGGGAGTATGTGTCCACACCCCTTATGCAGCAGCAATAAGCACATGTGAGAACTTACTTGAAATTCACCATCGATGGGTTCGCCGATTTCAATGTCTAGCACTTCGTACTGGTAGCCATCTTCGCCGCCAGCTGGCTCTCCACTGTAATCGATTTGGTCCATCTCTGTGTTGTGACCCTGGTTGTATTCCTCAGCATAGGCCTCTTCACCGTCCTGATTATAACCCTCCTCCTCTTCATAGCCCTCTGCACCCAGGTTCACGACATCATCTGTGTAGTCTGCTTCCTGCAAGCTGTCTTGCTGGTCATAGGAAGCACCCATGCTGTAGGCTGCATCCTGACCGCTGAGAAAAGAAAAAAATATTAATGAACCCTTAGAGCTGCTGCGACTTGTCATGACAGTTAAGGACCCCAAGTAAAATAACAAGTCTACATCCATGTTTTCAGTTAACACATAATTAGTTATGAAATGAAGTTTTCAAAATGGTTAAAAGCGTTTGTGTTTTTACTCTTCTATTTTAACAGCTCCAGTCTGCCGGTGTTTAGTGAGCACGCTTGGTCTTCATCATTAGTCTAAAACATCCAAGCTTTTATAGTTTCCTAAAGCCTAAGTTTTTTAAGGATATGGTACAATGATAGATTTAAAAAAAATCATGACAGTAGCTCCTGCAAACAGGTAATATTGAAGATACTACAAATATGTAATCTCAGACAGGAACAATATAAATAGGTATTTTTACATTTTTGGACTAATCAGCACTGCACTATGGTTTTATTTCAACCCAAGTTAAGCACATCCATCAAGACACTTTCAATACATGAAAAAACACTTTCATATATTGAAACACATGCATAAATAAAGTTAAGTTGATGAATAAAATTGTTAGTCTTCATTGTTCTATTTTTAGGTAAAGGGTTTAGGCTAAAAGACATTTTTATAAACTTGTTGTAAGACTTTCTACCTGTATTCACTGCAAAAACAATCCAGAAATAAGTAAAAAATGGCTTAAATTAAGTATATTTAGCCTTAATTTGAGCAGGTAAATAAGATGATTTGCCAATGGAATGAGTATTTTCACTCTTAAAATAAGATAGTTAGATAATATTTACTTGAAATAAGACGATAAAATAGTTTTTTCTTATTTTAAAAGGAAATTGTCTTGTTCCATTGGCAAAGTGTCTTACTTACCTCCTCAAATCAAGGAAAAACACACTTATTTTAAGAAAAAATAACTTATTGAGATTTCTATTTTTTGCAGTGTTTTTGTACTTCAATGCAGTTTTGTGTTGAAAAAATAAATTAAAAGCTTATAATATCTAAATGGAAATCAGTTTTAAATTTAAATTAGATAACATATATCAAAGGACGGGCAATAGTTACAACGATCCTGAACTTGAGCAAAAACAGAAAAAGAAAAATGGGAATATATTGCAAAAATGTACCTGACATTCAGGTCTTCATCATCACTTTGAAGAAGGTCATCATTCAACTCCTCATCTGACATTTCGGAGGGATTCTGAAATAAAAGCAAAAGAAAACATTCCAGTGGGACAATTTTTACCTGCGTACATGTTTATTCCTTTTGGTGTGCATCTGTTTGTGTAGAAGGCCTGGGGGCAGGTCACCTCCAACCCCTGAGGATGCTTTATTCCCATGTGGTGAAGGCAATCTGGGCAGGTCAACACTGGGCTTTTTTGTCCACTACATTTCCTCCTGTTTCACATCAACAGTTCCCCCTGCAGAGGAGCCACCTGCTACATGTCCAATCCTCACGACTGTTCTCAACAATAATATTACCTAATGTTCTGGATATTACAATCCTGTTGTAAGCAGAAAATCCCAAACTTCCATTTAAGTTGTTTTAACCCTTTCATGCATAGTGGTCACTACAGTGGACAGTTATTAAATGGTTGTTTTCTCTTAAATGAACATGTTTTAATGTCACATTTGCACATACACTATATTGCCAAAAGTATTTGCTCACCCATCCAAATTATTGGAATCAGGTGTTCCAATCACTTCCATGGCCACAGGTGTATAAATTCAAGCACCTAGGCATGCAGACTGTTTTTACAAACATTTGTGAAAGAATGGGTCGCTCTCAGGAGCTCAGTGAATTCCAGCGTGGAACTGTGATAGGATGCCACCTGTGCAACAAATCCAGTCGTGAAATTTCCTCGCTCCTAAATATTCCACAGTCAACTGTCAGCTGTATTATAAGAAAATGGAAGTGTTTGGGAACGACAGCAACTCAGCCACGAAGTGGTAGGCCACGTAAACTGACGGAGCGGGGTCAGCGGATGCTGACGCGCATAGTGCGAAGAGGTCGCCAACTTTCTGCAGAGTCAATCACTACAGACCTCCAAACTTCATGTGGCCTTCAGATTAGCTCAAGAACAGTGCGCAGAGAGCTTCATGGAATGGGTTTCCATGGTCGAGCAGCTGCATCCAAGCCATACATCACCAAGTGCAATGCAAAGCGTCGGATGCGGTGGTGTAAAGCACGCCGCCACTGGACTCTAGAGCAGTGGAGACGCGTTCTCTGGAGTGACGAATCGCGCTTCTCCATCTGGCAATCTGATGGACGGGTCTGGGTTTGGCGGTTGCCAGGAGAACGGTACTTGTCTGACTGCATTGTGCCAAGTGTAAAGTTTGGTGGAGGGGGGATTATGGTGTGGGGTTGTTTTTCAGGAGCTGGGCTTGGCCCCTTAGTTCCAGTGAAAGGAACTCTGAATGCTTCAGCATACCAAGACATTTTGGACAATTCCATGCTCCCAACTTTGTGGGAACAGTTTGGAGCTGGCCCCTTCCTCTTCCAACATGACTGTGCACCAGTGCACAAAGCAAGGTCCATAAAGACATGGATGACAGAGTCTGGTGTGGATGAACTTGACTGGCCTGCACAGAGTCCTGACCTCAACCCGATAGAACACCTTTGGGATGAATTAGAGCGGAGACTGAGAGCCAGGCCTTCTCGTCCAACATCAGTGTGCGACCTCACAAATGCGCTTCTGGAAGAATGGTCAAAAATTCCCATAAACACACTCCTAAACCTTGTGGACAGCCTTCCCAGAAGAGTTGAAGCTGTTCTAGCTGCAAAGGGTGGACCGACGTCATATTGAACCCTATGGATTAGGAACGGGATGTCACTTAAGCTCATATGTGAGTCAAGGCAGGTGAGCAAATACTTTTGGCAATATAGTGTATGTTACTACAGTGGACGCTAATGTATCATCCTGCCACTTGTCAAACTGCCACCTACTCCTCAGCCTTTGCAAGTGACTTTTTTTTCCTCAAAAAAAACAAAATGGCTGACAGAGGAGCACATGGGTTGTGAGGGAGAGGAATATCTGCTCATTCCTTCTATTCTAGGCGATCCTTGCAGGTAAAAAAAATATGGGGCCATCAAGTAACAATAGTTTTCTTTAAAACAAAACAAAACAAGGTTATATCAGTTGCACAAATGCGCATTGTCCACCCAAGTGGACATGTTACCAACTCCCTAAAGAAAGTATATTTTTAAAAAAAATTTATGAAAATGTTTTTTTCATTCATAAAGAGTAATAAAAACACTTGGTAAAAAAATCATAACATATACTATCGTAATTCATGCATGAAAGGGTTAAAACCGAGCAAAATAAAACTACTGACAATCCAACATTACCTTTTTAGCAGACAGCCAGTCCTCCTCCAACAAATCTTCTTCCAAATCACTGGACAGCAGAAGAAAACAAATGTAGGGTGAACAAACAAACAAATGCATAATGCTAATACAGTGGGTACGGAAAGTTTTCAGACCCCCTTACATTTTTTACTCTTTGTTTCATTGCAGCCATTTGCTAAAATCAAAAACATTTCTTTTAGTTCTCATTAATGTAAATTCAGCACCTTGACAGAAAAAAAACAGAATTTTTTTGCAAATGCATCAAAAAAGAATAACTGAAATATCAAATGGTGATAAGTATTCAGACCCTTTGCTGTGACACTCATATTTAACTTGCATGGTGTCCATTTCTTCTGAACCTGTTGTAGATGGATTGGACTTGATTAGGAAAGGCACACACCTGTCTATATAAAACCTTACAGCTCACAATGCATGTCAGAGCAAACGAAATTCAACAGGTCGAAGAAACTGCCCAAGGCACAGATCTGAAGTTTACAAAATAGTTTCTGCAGCACTCAAGGTTCCTAAGAGCACAGTGGCCTCCATTATCCTTAAATGGAAGAAGTTTAGGATGACCAGAACTCTTCCTAGACCTGGCTTTCCAGGCAAACTGAGCAATTGTGGAAGAGCCTTGGTGAGAGAGGTAAAGAAGAACCCAAAGATCCCTGTGACTGAGCTCCAGAGATGCAGTGGGGAGATGGGAGAAAGTTCCACAAAATTAGCTATCACTGCAGCCCTCCACCAGTCTTGGCTTTATGGCAGAGTGGCCTGACAGAAGCCTCTCCTAAGTGCAAGACATATGAAAGCCAGCATAAAGTTTGACAAAAAACACATGAAGGACTCCCAGACTATGAGAGAGAAGATTCTCTGGTCTGATGAGGCCAAGATTGAACTTTTTGCTTCAATTAATTCTAAGTGGTATGTGTGAAGGAAACCAGGCACTGCTCATTGATTGCCCAATACGAAGTTAACAGTGAAACATGGTGGTGGCAGCATCATGCTATGGAGGTGTTTTTCAGCTACAGGGACTGGTTGCAATTGAAGGAAAGATGAATGTGATCAAGTACAGAGATATCCTGGAAGAAAACCTCTTCCAGAGAGCTCAGAACCTCGGACTGGAGCAAAGGTTCACCTTCCAACAATACAATGACCCCAAGCACACAGCTAATGTAACAAAGGAGTGGCTTGGGAACAACTCTGTGACCATTCTTGACTGGCCCACCCAATTGAGCATTTCTGAAGAGACCTTAAAGGAGAAGTTCGGTTTTTTACACTTTAAGCCCATTTTCTGTAGTGTCCAGGATGAAATCGAATGATCGACACCAAAAGTTTGACAATTGCTCCTGTCTCTGCTTTTTGGCTCATTTAGAATCACCCCCTGGCTGCTTTAGAATGGCTAGCATAGAGCATGTCCGATAATGTCCTTAAAACAACCTTAAACGTTCTTTTTTTAAAATATGCTACTCACCGTGTCGTCAGCGCTGTTCAATGACGTTCCAAAAAAAGTTTCGTGAAGAAAAAACGTTCCTGTAGTGTTTTATTTAGCATTTTGTAAATCCCATTGAGTTCTGTAGGAATAGTCAATATTCCGCTGCCACCGGAAACGGAAATGGGGCCTGTTTACACAGTTGTAGTCTTTTCGCTTCACTCTGTGTACTCCGACGTCGAGGTGCTAACGTCTCTGTTAAACACTTTAAAAAACTCTGAAAATGGAATACGAAAGGTGGATTCTTGATTCTCGACGTCGGAGTACACAGAGTGAAGCGAAAAGACTACAACTGTGTAAACAGGCCCCATTTCCGTTTCCGGTGGCAGCGGAATATTGACTATTCCTACAGAACTCAATGGGATTTACAAAATGCTAAATAAAACACTACAGGAACGTTTTTTCTTCACGAAACTTTTTTTGGAACGTCATTGAACAGCGCTGACGACACGGTGAGTAGCATATTTTAAAAAAAGAACGTTTAAGGTTGTTTTAAGGACATTATCGGACATGCTCTATGCTAGCCATTCTAAAGCAGCCAGGGGTTGATTCTAAATGAGCCAAAAAGCAGAGACAGGAGCAATTGTCAAACTTTTGGTGTCGATCATTCGATTTCATCCTGGACACTACAGAAAATGGGCTTAAAGTGTAAAAAACCGAACTTCTCCTTTAAAAATGGCTGTCCACCAACGCTCAACATCCAACCTGACAGAACAGGAGACGATCTGCAAGGTAGAATTGCAGAGGATCCCCAAATCCAAGTGTGAAAAACTTGTTGCATCATTCCCAAGAAGACTCATGGCTACACTAGCACAAAAGGATGCTTCGACTCAATACTGAGCAAAGGGTCTGAATACTTATGACGATGTGATATTTCAGTTTTTCTTTTTTGATAAATTTGCAAAAAATTCTACATTTTTGTTTTTTCTGTCAAGACAGAATGCTGAGTGTAAATCAATGAGAAATAAAATTTACTTTATTGATTTTAGCAAATGGCTACAATGGCACAAAGGGTGAAAACTTTAAAGGGATCTGAATATTTTCCGTGCCCACTGTAGGGCTGCTTTTAAAATACAATGTTAGCTTTGATGATTTTTGTGTCCCTTGCTGTTTGAAAATGAAAGTTATCCTGTAAAAGTCAAGTGTGTTGATACAGGAGGATCCCAGAGCACTGTAATTAAATGCTAATCTATAACACACAGTTTCTATGTTTACATCTTTAGTTGTTTCCCATTAAATGTAAAAATGACTCCTTTATAAATATCCAAAGAGTTTACAGAACACAAAGACGATAAATTCTGCAGTTTCAATTTTCTCAGGTAAACTAGACTTTAAGAAAGTCCTCTATTACTCTCCCTAAAACCATACCGCACTGTTATTTTGGGTGTGTTCCAGTTGTTTTTTAACTGAAACGCCCCTGAAGGTTTGAAGTCCTACTCCAAAGGTCAGCTGGACTGGTTCATACTCGACTTTGGCTTTCATGATGGCTGCCACTCGCATAACAGCAGTAAAACTTTCCTACTTTGACTTGTTTTTAGCAGCTATTTCTTATTTAACTGACAGTCATACACATACAATTTTTAACTGTTGCATCTGTAAAAACTATCTACCAACTAGCTATCTACTGGAGACCAGGAATTGCTGTTATGCAAATAACTACAAACCATGGATGACGGATAAAGAATGATTGCCATAACTAAAAGACAAACCAAACAACCCAAATTTAATGTCTCAATGTCTCAACTCATCTTTGTACACCTGACACTGAATTCTTAGCAACATTCAACAGCAGCAAATGTCTCATATACATTAAGACTGTTTTTAATCAAACAATAAAACACAGTTTTGTGGATCATTATAATGTAATGTTTTACCTCTCGAGACCATCAGCATCACCCCTTCTTCTGCGGGAACGCTCAGCACCAGGTTTGTCATATTCATCAAAGTTGAAATCTAAGAAAACAAAACAAACAAAAAAGTGTAAATTATAAATAGCATAAATATTACAAAGCAAAAATGAGAATCACCAGAATGGTTCTTTTTTGTTGAGCATTTTATTAGTCTTCGGATCCAGTTATACAAGGTCCCTGTATTTCCGTTCAACCCTGCCGAAAGCGAAGCACTTCCGATATTCCATAAAGAAGTCAACAAGCAAACAGCTGAGGGTTGATACAATTCATCCTGATTAATTGATTACCGTATTTTCACGACTATAAGGCGCACATAAACGTCTTTTTTTCCCTCAAAATGTGCGGTGCGCCCTTTGGTGCGGTGCGCCCTGTGTGTTGTAACTGCGACTTTTGAGACCACCTCATTGAGGAGATGATGAAAGAGTGGCTGAGGGAGGTGAATGTAAAGAGACCAGGTGTTTTTTTTCCACTCATCACCATCGCTGTTAATCTGTGACTCCATGCGTGCCCATCTCACAGCTGATGTGAAAAACATGGTGAAACAAATGCTGTGCTTGCTGTTATTCAACCGCTTGACATCGGTGTGAACCGGACGCAGCAGGTGCAGCAGAAGCAGCGAGTTTACATGCAAAGTCAATGGTTGACGTGCGTATAGGCGCAGCAAAAGGTCCCGCAGCGCGTTTTTAGCAGCAGGCGCAGCGCGTCGGGAGCGTTTAAGCATCTGACGCGCCACGAACGCGCTGCTGCTGCTCGAGATGGAAAAATTGAAGTTTTGCTGCTGGAAGCGCCGCATCAACCAATCAGAGAAGCTGATCTGGGAGCTGACAGCGAGACAGACACATCGCTCTGATGACATATGATATTAAGGCAAATGAAAAGGGCTGGATGGATGAGGAGATGATGAAAGCGTGTCTGAGGCAGGTGTATGTAAGGAGACCAGGTGTTTTTTTCCACGCATCACCATCGCTGTTAATCTGTGACTCAATGCGTGCCCATCTCACAGCCGATGTGAAAAACATGGTGAAACAAATAAACGCTTTGCTCGCCGTTATCCCAGGGGTCTGACAAAGGAACTTCAACCGCTCGACATCGGTGTGAACCGGTCGTTCAAAGTAAGGCTGCGAGCGGCATGGGAGCGATGGATGACAGACGGAGACCACAATTTCACGAAAAGCGGAAGGCAGCGCCGGGCAAGTTACGGCACCGTTTGCGGATGGATTGTAGATGCTTGGACTAACGTGTCTGCTGGCACTGTTGTTCCAGCTTTCGCAAAAGCCAGCATCATTTCCGAGGAGCCGCCCGGCACAGAAAGTGACTCTGACAGGGAAGAAGGGGAAATTGGCATGACTGATTTAGCGCAGCTGTTTAATTTAGAAACAGAGGATGATGACTTTGATGGGTTTGATTAATACTTTGTAATAAATACTTGAATAAAGCACAATCATTCTCAGTTTTGCTCCCGCTCTATTTTTCTACCTGAAAACTTAATTCATCAGCAGCCTCTGGGCCACGTCGCCTCTGGTTTCACCGCGGCGGCTGGCAGGTGTTTTTTCATCTAAATAATCTAAATCTTGTAGCTATATTTGCTGTGATCAGTAGGAATGAAGTAGTTTTAATATGTTTTTAAGTGAGAAAGTCCACCTGAAAACGTCATAATTACAGTCAGTTCATCCAGATTATCATCCTGCCTATACTATTTCTGTCGGAGGCGCTCAGACCCCCACATACCAGCGGTACACCGACAGTAGAAATCCCTTCAACAGCAGCCTCTACGTTGGGTAGCCTCCGGGTTCAACGCGGCGGCTGGCAGGTGTTTTTCATCTAAATAATTGAAACTGCAGGCACCAGGATACCGGTAATAAAAGCGAACATATTCCGTCCGCAGGTTTCAGGATTTTAAGTTAATTTAGGAGTGATCACAGCGCTCTGTCATCTGGATGTGTCTGTCTCACGGCCAGCACCCAGGTTTGATTAATACTTTGTAATAAATACATGAATAAAGCACAGTCATAATCAGTTTTGCTCCCGCTGTATTTTTAAATACGCAGTAGAGGTATTTAAACGTAGTAGAGGACATGTACCTGTATATAAAAAACGCGCCCTATAGTCCGGTGCGTCTTATGTGTGTGTTAAATACAGAAATGGGACACATAACTGAGACTGCGCCTTTTAGTACGGTGCGCCTTATGGTCGTGAAAATACGGTAGTAAAAAAAAAAGAAAATAGCCTACTAATCCAATTGTTAAGTATGGTATACAGTGGGGCTGAACAATTTTTATTCAACCAGTATTGTGATTTTATTTTGATTTTTCATTGCAAAAATCCCATGTATGTAGGTTTTTTCCCCCAGGATCTCATTGTTTTCAGGACCTAGAATGCCTGATGTCCAAATTCCATTAAGAAGGACTTTACGGTTGCTATGGAAAGTGTTTATTTCCACTAGCATGAATGGATCAGCACTCTTGCTGCAACTCTTTCTTTCCTTCTTTGTGGCTGAAAACCCACTTTTAGCCCACTGAGAGCGGTAATGAAGCAGAAACTAGGGCCGGGGCGATACGACCTCAAATCAATATCACGATAAATTGGGCAGTTTTACCTTGATAACGATAAATGCACGATAAATGCTCTGGCTCCTCTTTCAGAAATAAGGGCATATGGAGGAAATGCAACTGATCCATTTATAATTAATTGAATAAATCACATTTACATATTACTTTCAATTAAATAATTATGTCTTATATCCATTCAAGTTTAAACATTCAACATTGTCTAATTGAACAGGAGGAAAATGTTTCCTCACTTCCAGACATTCTTGAGAAAGGTATTTGAGCGTTTTGCCCATCTTTGAACTCAACAGTGTGGTTGTGCTGTAGAAGGTGGAGGTTGGATGTGTTACTTTGGGTATTCATGACAGTGTTAAGACAAACTTTGCATTTCCTGTTATTTTGCTCAACATCTATGGTGTAATTTTGGTGCCACCGAACTGTGCGCAGTGAGAACAATGTGCATCGTTTAAACTTGCACACCTTCACTCAAAACCATTCTGCCGTGCGCTCAACTCTGACAAGTTGCACGCAACTTCTCCCCGCACGCTCAGCTTCATCTCTGCTCTTGCTCGGCTCGCAGGATAAATTTTTGTCATTTGGTTTATAGCTGTGTTAGATGCGTCTTCAGTGAGCTCATCCACTATTCTCTATGTTTACGCTTCTGACAGGATTGGTGGAGTCACGTGATTACACACTGCTGCACTGTCTTAAAGGGGACGGAAATACCAGCCACCAGCACACACAGGCAAAACAGCAGAATTATTTACAGACTTATTTACAAAATTTACAGACATTGGGAAAATTTGCACCGGTTATTGTACTAAATTATGATAACGGTAAAAAACCTTTTTATCGCCCAGCCCTATTAAAAAGTAGGAGAACAGTACTACTGCTAACAGTCAAACTCACGATAAAAGAAACCAAAAAACAAAATAAAAAGGAATTAGGAATAATAGGTAAAGCTAAAAAAAGAACATAGACAAACAGTAACAAAAATAACGTAATAAAACACAAATGCAAGAAACAAAAGCCTTGTGTTAAATCCTGACTGACTAATTACTTAATCTAATTTCAACTATTTTTATTCAACAATTTTTAGTAAAAAATTGCAGGTAATCTAATATAAGCAGATAGTAAGGATTGCTTTAAAATTAAAATGTTCTAGTTAAAAAAAGGCAAATGTAACTTTAAAGAAAGACGTTTCTCCCTTTTAAATAATAGTGAAGTCCTTCCTCTGTAATGAACTATTATCTTTATAATTGATAATCCATAGAAAACACAAAGTCCTGACTTTATAATTATAAACCCAGGAACCTCCTGCTCACAACAAAGGAGCCAAGTAGTCATTTGCACACTTGTCACATCAAGTGCATAAGCAAATGTGCTTATGTTTCCATAGCAACGAGTAGATATGGTACAACAGGGTATCACTAAACAAGCACTTACAAATAATACAATACAAATAATTCAAGGAGCCCTAAAAACGGCTCAAGATCCTCATTTAGCTCTTGAAATGTATTTTTCTACGGTAAAGAAAACATCTTCACTAGACAATTCACAAAGTAAAATTAATGTCACATTTAACTTTTACATTTTAAATATTCAGTCCCCTAAAACACCTCCAGGTTTTGCCTTGGGTTACCATTAAAGCTATGCATTAAAGTGTTGGAGCAAAAAAAGGTTATTCTAGAGTGATCAACCAAGATGCATGTTAAAGGCCAATTAAATAAGAATCTAAGTGTACAGTACCAGAACATGGACTAGAAAAGTTTGGTAACTTACAGTCCTTCATCATTACCAGAACAGTTGATGAACACTACATACTTTTCATCATTGACGGCTTTTCTGTGGACCTACGTCAAGCCTGATGTGCCATATTATTAGAACGTGACGTTTTACACAGGAAAAAATTTTGTTGAAAGCATCAACAATGATAAAGAATATTTACTACTTTGCAATAAACTTAAAGACCACCTCTGCTAATCATTTACTGGTAAACAATAGTAACATGCCCTGTGTATCATCCTTATTCACCTATCCTTCTGTCAGCTTCAGAATTACAGCCACCAACAACAAACTTTTAGGTTAAATGTTTTTAAACCTCCGTACAAATGACATTGAAAGGGATGAGCTGACATCTCTGTCTGAATCAGAGCAAAAGTCCAAAATATTTTACATTCCTTCCTTATCTCGTTTCTAGATTTAAAGCAGTTTCTTTCGTTAGAGGCAGTACATTTATCAGGTAAATATTTCTGTCTGAAAAGTGTTATGTCTGTCTTTGTTTTTACTTTCTTTTATTGCCACCATGACAGTGTTTCCAATTTAGTACACAGCCAGAGCACTGCACTATAGGACATTGCAAACGAATAAACAATTTTAATTTTTGCTCCAAATTCGAGCTATCACAATGGTTTTAAAATAATTAGCTGATTACTTTGTATTTTTTGATGAATTAGTTAATTATTGGATAGCAAAAGGTGCATAACAGGAGATTTCT